AAAAATATTCTGTTTTTAAATTTAAAAAAAAATTAAGTGCTGAAACGCTGAACATCTTCGCAAGTGATTCATTTGGGCCAGCACACGGCTATAAATCAGTTGCTGCATCTTACCAATTCATTTCTCGAAATTTTCCATGGACAGTATAATTTCCGAATTCGACCCTCAGAAAATTGGGAGACCTGGAGAAGAAGCAGAGGCGTTTGTTCCTTGTTTAAGAGGAAAAAAAGTACTGCATTTTTCTCACCTTCCCATGAGACTGCTGGAGGATTACAACCCGTCGGAAATACCATTTGATTGCGAGTTTGATAATTTTCTTAATAACTTCGGAAGTAAAGTGGAAACTTGAATAAATACTGTACACAACTTCATTCTGGAGTGCGTATTTATTTCGAGCAACGGATCATCATGATGCATGTGCAAACGAGTAAAACGACGAGATTCAGCTTCTTTTTTTACATTGTTTGCCTTGAAACAACAACAAAAAATGTAAGAAAAAAACCGTACAAAAAATGCAAGAAAAAAAAACCGTACAAAAAATTTCGCAGCGAGAAGGAGATATTCAGTCACTCATTGTCCTGATCGGAATGTACAAACTCGATATGGGCATCAGCAAGCATTTCAGCCATATCCATCATATAAATCCGAGGCTTCGAATTCATTTTCATCCCACGACGAGTCATCGCAGCTCATATGTGAGCTCCGGCGAGAAGTCCACTCACGCCTTCGAACAATGCCCCACACCTTGGTCTCAGTTGGAAGCATCGTTCGAAGAAATCCTTCGCGTGTGGATCCTTCATATACGAATTATTTCCCTGCAAGTAATTGGCGACAGTGACGCAAATCCTCTCCGCGTCTTGATGCATAGATTTTTCGTCGCATATGCGTTGAATGTCAAAGAATTCTTTCGAGAATTCTTCAAATTTCATAGATTTCACTGACATCAGGAGATCCATTTTCTTTACCAGCAAATTCGTGATCTTGTCAACGCCTTCTGCCAATTCTTGATTAATGACATGATTAATTACAGCCAACGCCTGTTGATATTCCTTTGTTCCCATCAGCAGCGAAAACTGTAAAATACATTCGAGGAATAGTGTTGTCTATAAAGAATCAATAATACGCATACATTTTAATGTACACCAATTTTCAGCGGGGAACGCAGTTTCTTTTAAACTCATGCGCTAATTAACGGACAGCAATAGAATTGAAACACAATTTTGAAAGGCAGGGGAAAATTGCGTAAATGCAGGAGCTTAGGAAAGCGTATCGAACAACCATATCAACAATTTCCCTCCGCCTATTTTCAGACTAGAACCGCATTGATAGAACATAGCATTGAAAGCAGCCAGCAGAACAATATGGACTACACAGACTGCTGATCGCCATATGATTTCATTCCGACACTAAAGTTTCGGTATTACGGAGTTTCTCCAATAAATTTTTACCAGTTCTTCGCCGAATTTTCCCGTTGTTTCAAATGCTCTGCGCGTCACTTGTACGTATTTTTCAGAATACGTCCGCGGTCCGTTCTCCAAATTGTCTATAGTGGACAAATACGTAGCCCACATGTCCTTCGTATTGATTGTTCTCAGGGATTCCTCGAAAGAATTGTAGCAATTCCTGCAATTATTTTAAATGATGTATTGCATGATCAGCAATAAAACCAGACTTCTTTTTCTACGGATGAAAATGCCTCTAACATCTTCAAGAAAATTCGTTTCGGACTTCTTTGGTTTTACATTTCACCAAGACGGTCTTTGAATTACTCAAGATGGGCATTTTTCGCCATTGAAAAAACCTCACGACCAAAATTACTGAAGCAAATTCACTCTCAGCCACTCATTTACATCTTTTTGGGTATGAATGCAATTGTTCATTCTGCGTAGTTCAGAATCGAAACAGTCCTAAACGTTGCTGTCTGTCAAGAACTTCTGTGTTCCTCAATTTTTCTAAAATAATTTCTCGATCAGAAGACAGAAAAATCGAACGGAACACAACTCGATAAGAATCATCCCGAGTAAAGTACATAGGTACGCATAATATTTCAAGCATATGAAAAGAGTTCTTGAAAAATGAAGATAATTACTCAATCCGTGTCTTCATGTGAGGTACTTGATTTTCTTCATACGCATCCTCATCAAGGAAACGCTGTGCGACTACGTCGTGGGTTACTTCGCAGTCTGGAAATTCGGCGACGAGTTTGCCGACAAGCCAATTCCTCACATCCTTGGCAAAGGAAAATTTACGCGTAACACTTACGAACCCTTGAGCCAGCAAAGGAACTTTGTCATTCTGCACATCTTTGAACGCTCCCTCGGCTACTTTAATCGCCAAGGAACCAGAGAGAATATTCTCATAATCTTCATCGATTTCTAATACGTTCTTGGCGAGTTTCGCCGTTTTCCTCCTCAAAACCTTTTCTTCGGCATACTCTTCGATTTGATTCCGCAGTTTCTGCGCATTGAATAGCTCCATTTCGAAATACTGGAAAGGGTAAGAGCATCATAGAATAATCAAAACTTTTTTTGCGTGCCCTCCACTTCATTTTAAAATTGCAATCGAACAAACCGCTACATAAATTTTGAAGTTTTTTGGGTGCCACTTGAGGGCTTGTACGAAGATTTCCCGCCCTTTAACTGCAGAATTTGAAACAAGTTTTCCTTGGTATTCATTCCGGGCGGCACGTATACAGCACATATCTGGATCACCTTCATGGTCTGGACGCCTCTGGGTGCCAATACCGCAACGGCTTCGGGGCATTTTTCCTGAAAGAAGGAACGCACTTACCGCTAATTCTAATTAAATGCTTCCGAAAATCTCAGTTGCCTCTCAGAATTTCAGTTATGGTTACCGAACGCTGATATCCGCCTGTTGTTGTATGGAAACGTCGATTTTCTTCTTATGGAATGATTTAATGTTTCCTGGAAAAACGGAAGAACCATAGATGTTTGAACCTTTCGTTTTGGTTTAAAATGAGACAATCTCTGAACTTCGTTATTAACTATAAACAAGGCATACCGTACTCCTTCCTTTTTTAAAAGATTTGAGTCTGCATTTGACTTTTTTTTTTCTCACGGACAACTGAAAAAAATGCATAAGCACGAAGAATATAAAACAGATCAAAACACATCCACAGCATCAAATACAACTCCTAAATTTTAATGCAACACTGCGTAATCACAGAATCATAATGACACATCTAAACCATTAGAAAATGCCTTTCAGATATTTGTATCCGGAAAGCTGGATTCTCTTGTCAAAACGCTGACTGACGATTTTGGAATCATGATCGTAGAAGGGGTTCATCGAGTACTGCAATGAAGAAAAAATATCAACATGAAAAGACATGCAATAGAGAAACAAAATTTTTCGTACCTTGATGTAAGTTTCGTACACTTCAGCGAAGAAACTTTTGACGCCCTCATCATTTTTGGCATCAAGAACCGCATCCCACCAGCAGTAACAAACGCCGAGACGAACCATTCGTTTAATTTATCCACTATTTTCAGGTATTCGGAATGGACCATGGGTGTTCATCAACCAAATCCAGAGCATTGTGCGCTACGATCAGGTTCAAATATACGGTCACAATGAAATTAGAGAATAAAACACATATTAAATGAATACCATTAATCTCTTCAATCGGTGGAGCGAATTTATTACATACTGTACAAGGAAATATCGAGATGTCCGACGAGCGCAAAATGAGGTTCATAACTTTTGTTTTTCATACGGCTTCTCTGGGAAGAATAGCACAAAATTTACAAACTTTTCAATCTGCGAGCATTGCATCCACATTAATCATCATATCTGATGCTTCGACTTCATTTTCATCGCATGGGGAGTTTTTGACAAAGAAATCATTGAAGGCATCCAATTCCGAGCCCTTCAAGCTCATTGAAGCTCTTGATTTTATTGACTCCAAGGTTGGATCATCAGCTTTCGTTTTCTTTGCGGTTTCATGATATTCGATCCAGACTGCAAAGGGAAAAGGTTGATTGAAAATTCAAGATCACTAATAAACAAATAAAAAGGGTACACCTCAAAATCTGCATCACATTTTCCTAATTAAAATTGTCCGAGCAGGAAGCACGGTTAAGGTGAGCTATGATTACTGTCTTGGTGCGATACACATTTTGAATTACAGTAGATCCTGCGACATTCAAGATATTTGGTGATTGGTGTCCATTTAAGTTACAATATATAGTTTTGCTCAGTGTTCGTCAGATTACTTAGGTTTATTAAGCATTCTTTCAAAGTGATCAGGTTTGTTTGGCGTTCTTTTGGGCGGGTGCAGGATAAAATCCCGTGGGAGAAAAAATCCCACGGCCGAAAATCCCGTAGGCCCAAAAATCTCGGAAGGTCCGAAAATCCCGTAGGCACGAAAATCCCGAAAAAGGAATTTTCATATCAGAAAAACCTAGTTTGAAAATGACAGAAGGCAATGGTATTTTAACAATTCAAAATCATCAAAGAAGTCCAAATACAGTTATATATAGTGATATTTCATTTTCAATCTTAATAATCAATATACAGTAAATGATGTATAAGAAATGAAATAAAATAAATCTATAAAAAGTCCACAAACGTTCAACTCTACAAGATTTCCACCCGAACTGATGCAAGTTTATTACTTCAGAAGGGAAAGTTGACCTGTGAAAATCATTGGAATAGTACACAGTTTATATACAAAACAATGCAGGAATGAAGGCTATATCTTTTCTAGGCTTCCTCACCTTTCTTTTGAGAAAGATCAGGAAGTGAAGGTGAGATTCTATTAAGAAAGATAATCCTTAAGCCTCCCAAACCCTTGGAAGGAATTGAATCCCTTGCACTTTCACAATTTCATAATCCACCAGATTTTTATTCCTTCTAGACATTTGGAAGGGTAACCAATAGAGACAATATTACAATTTTGTAGTACTCATTGGGATTTTTGTACCTACGGAATTTTCGTACCTACGGGATTTTTGGACCATGCAAGATTTTCCAGTCTACGGGATTTTTGTCCTCACGGGATTTTCGGGCCGCGGGATTTTTTTCTCCTATGGGATTTCATCATGGAGCCCTTTTGGGCCATTCAGGTTTTTGAAGCATTCTGTTCAGCCATTTTGTGTTTAAAAGAGTTCTGTTACGCAAAATAGTGTTTTTAAGCTTTCAGACTGTTGAATATTAGATTGAAAGAATGATTTCAGCTGCAATACGTAAACACGGCTTCATGATAAAATCCTGTAGGAGAAAAAATCCCGCGGCCTGAAAATCCCGTGAGGCCGATAATCCCATAGGCCAAAAAATCTTGCACAGTCCAAAAATCCCGTAGGTACAAAAATCCCGTATACAACAAAATTGTGATATCTCTGAGTTTTCTTTCCAACTGCCTATGAGGAATGCGAATATGGTGGATTATGAAATGGGGAAAGTGCAAGGGGTTTCTCTCCAAGGATTTCCAAGGTTTAGGAATTACCTTTGTCAATGGAGCCTCAACTTCACTTCCTCACCTTTCTCCTGAGGAAACCTGAGAAAAATATAACCTTCATTTGGATCAAGACTTTGTCCCTGCATTTGTTTTGTATATAAACTGTTCACTTTTCCAATTATTTTCAGTTCTACTTTGCCCTCAAAACATGAATTTTTACATAAAAAAAACCTCTTTTGATATCTACATATCATGGTGATGGTCTGTAAATAATTTCTAAATCATCAAATAAGTCTAAATGCAGTTATATAAGTATATTTCATCTTGTCAACTTTCAATTTCAATGTACAGCACATGATAGAGCGTACATTATGTTTTTTTAATTCAACAATCCATTCAACTTAACAAGATTCCCACCCAAAGGCCACAGAAGAGTAAACACAGTTGGAAGGGAAACTCAGAGATAATATCACAATTTTGTAGTATATGGGATTTTACCTACGGGATTTTCGGACCCCGCAAGATTTTACGGCCGACGGGATTATCGGCCCCAGGGGATTTTCGGGCCGCGAGTTTTTTTCTCCTACGGGATTTTCTCCTGTACCCGTAAACACATACTATACAATACTGGAAGAAGAGGCCGGACAGCTTCATTAAAAAAAAAAAAACTGCGGTACAATCATAATTTACTCACCGGATGCACGAGACTTGAAATACCGCAGATACAGTTCCAGGAGACCCAATTTGTCTCTGAGAAGCTTTGCGATGACCCGGCAGTTTCGACCTTCTGTCAATTTTTGTTCAATGACGTGATCAAATATATCCAAGGCCAGTTGAAATTCCTTCTTTGATCGTAACAGCGAAACCTGTCAAATACATAATACAATAATGGCAATGAATAGCGTTGTCCAATACAGTTGAACCGGTTGAATACGAACTTCACGGGACCCACAACAAATTCATCAAGTCAGGTATTTTTCGATTTAGGGAAGCAATCAATTTTGCGGGAGAAGGAAACATCACAGGAATTTGTGATTAGTGATATTCTGGACCTTAAACTGATTCCTAAACGTAAGAGTTGACAGGATGCTGAACTTGGAGGCAATGGTTTGTCTAAATGCAGTTATATAAGTATATTTCATCTTGTCAAATTTCAATTTCAATGTACAGCACATGATAGAGCATAATTTTTTTTTTTTTTAATTCAACAATCCATTCAACTTGAAAAGATTCCCACCCAAAGGCCACAGAAGAGTAAACGCAGTTGGAAGGGAAACTCAGAGATAATATCACAATTTTGTAGTAGTATATGGGATTTTCGTAGCTACGGGATTTTCGGACCCCCCCGCAAGATTTTTCGGCCACAGGGGATTTTCGAGCCGCGGGTTTTTTTCTCCTACGGGATTTTCTCCTGCACCCGTAAACACATACTATACAATACTGGAAGAAGAGGCCGGACAGCTTCATTAAAAAAAAAAAACTGCGGTACAATCATAATTTACTCACCGGATGCACGAGACTTGAAATACCGCAGATACAGTTCCAGGAGACCCAATTTGTTTTTGAGAAGCTTTGCGATGACCCGGCAGTTTCGACCTTCTGTCAATTTTTGTTCAATGACGTGATCCAATATATCCAAGGCCATTTGAAATTCCTTCTTTGATCGTAACAGCGAAACCTGTCAAATACATAATCCAATAATGGCAATGAATAGCGTTGTCCACTACAGTTGAACCGGTTAAATACGAACTTCACGGGACCCACAACAAATTCATCAAGTCAGGTATTTTTCGATTTAGGGAAGCAATCAATTTTGCGGGAGAAGGAAACATCACAGGAATTTGTGATTAGTGATATTCTGGACCTTAAACTGATTCCTAAACGTAAGAGTTGACAGGATGCTGAACTTGGAGGCAATGGTTCATTTGGCCACTTATTCTTCCACTTTCTCAACAGGTCAGGCTACACTTTTAATTGCATGTCTCTTTACTCCGTCAATAAATTGATTGCCAAAATGTCTCCAAAAAATTCGAATCAAGGAAGTTTGGGAGAGAAAGCCTTCAATTTAGGGAAGTTTTCAATGCATTGTTTCTAAGGGAATTCGGAGAGGGACTTGACAAAAATTTGACTCAGGGAGTTTTGACGGCATAAAATCAATTACGCATAACTTTTAATTGAACTTTTTTTTCAAGAGGAACACCTTTTTTCAAAATTCAAACTCTCAAAGACAGTTAATTCAATTTTAAAACATTATTTTTTGGGGGAAAAATCAACGAGAAAAAGCAGGATATTACTTTACATCTGGACATCGTTTAGAACTACGATATTTAAAAATTTCCTCTCGTGTATTTTGTTGCGTGTTCCTAATTCTTTCTTGTCTTCCCGGAACATTTACAGTTGATGATATGAATTGGAAATATGAACCATCCCTAAAAACATACTTGAAAACTATTTCGCACATAACCCAACGATATCACAACATGATTGACCACTCAAGAAGAAAAATGTTTGGTCACGCATTTTTCGGCCGGTAAACATGATTTTATTCTGACGATGGAGTATTCGAAAGTTCATATACGATGAATATTTACCAGCGTTTCGCCAAATTTTCCCGTTGCTTCAAATGCTCTGCACGTCACTTGGAAGTATTTTTTAGAATGTTCCCACGATCGGTTCTTGTATATCTCCTCCAAATCCGCTACAGCGTACAAATATTTATCCCACATGTCCTCCGTATTGATTGTTCTCAGGGATTCCTCGAACGACTTGTAACAATTCCTGCAATTTTTTCAAGTATAGCATTGCATGAGCATAAACAAAAGCAGAATTTTCAGACAGATGCTTTTAATTTCTTGAAGAAAAATCATTTCGGACTTGTTTCGGTTGGGAAATTTCTCTAATACTTCGTCGATCGTCAGGAATTTTTTTTCTGTATAAAGCATTATTCCGATGAAGAAATTTTCATCAAGTAGAATACGAACATTCGCTGTTCTTCAAACTGAACTCCTTTCCCCATGTGTAAACCAAAGTTGGCGAAATTTGAGCAGGAGTCAGACAAGCGTTTAATATTACACTTTTACAGGTACATTTCTGAGATTTCATCTTCGAAACAATGTTGATGGAAAGTGTATATACGTAGAAACTGGAAAAATTTTCGCGGAAGTTCGCACGGAATTTCGAGCATTTAACACGAGTTCTTGAAAATTGGGAACTCACTCGATTCTCATATTCAAATGAGGTACTCGATTTTCTTCATACGCATCCTCATCAAGGAAACGCTGTGCGACTACGTCGTGGGTTATTTCGCAGTCTGGAAATTCGGCGACGAGTTTGCCGACAAGCCAATTCCTCACATCCTTGGCAAAGACGAAGGGGCGCGTAACAGTTAAGAACCCTTGAGCTAGCGAAGGAATTTCGTCTTTCGACACATCTTTGAACGCTCCCTCGGCTACTTTAATCGCCAAGGAACCAGAGAGAATATTCTCATAATCTTCATCGATTTCCGATTTTGTTTTTGAGAATTTTGTCCGTTTCCTCTTCAAAACCTTTTCTTCGGCATACTCTTCGATTTGATTCCGCAGTTTCCGCGCATTGAATAGTTCCATTTCGAAATACTGAAAAGGGTAAAAGCATCATAGAATAATCAAAACTTTTTTTGCGTGCCCTCCACTTCATTTTAAAATTGCAATCGAACGAACCGCCATGTAAATTTCAACACAACTTGGATGTCGCCTGAGGGCACGTTGAAAAAGTTCCCTTCCTTTGTTTGCAGAATTGGAGATTCGATTTCCTTCGTATTCACTTTTCGCCGCAACTATCCAGATTTTCGGATTATCGTCATGGTCTTCAAGCATCCGGGTGTACATTTCGCCACGGCTTAGGGGCATTTTTCCTAAAAAAAGGAACGTATTTTAACGCTAGACGTGAGTAAAGCATCGGAAAATCTCTTGATTGTCTGAAAACATTTCTGATATGAATACGGAACGCTGATTTCCACCTGAAATGGGACAGAAGAGCTGATCCTCTTATCTTGAAGTGACTTGCAGTTTCCTAAAGACAAAAAAAGAAACTTTGAATACTAATCAACAGACGCGATCGCTTCACTTCGTGATCAACTCAACACAAGGAATCGTTCTTCCTTTTATTTTCGAAGATTTGATTTTGTATTCCAACATTTTTTTTTTCTCACGAACAATTTAAAAAAAATTCAGTAGGTGCACAAAGAAGACCACAGGTTGAAAACATCTACGGCATCAAATATAACCCAGCAATTTCAATGCAATCCTTTTTATCACAGAATCAAAATAGCACATCTACACCACATACACAAAAATCAGCCGGTCAGATATTTGCGTCCGAAAAGCTGGATTTTCTTGTCAAAAGGTTGACTGACGATTTTGGAATCATGATCGTAGAAGGGATTCATTGAGTACTGCAAGCAAGAAAAAAATATCAGCATAAGAAGACATCTAATAGAATTTCAAAAAAAAGTTTTGTACCTTGATGTAAGTTTCGTACACTTCAGCAAAGAAACTTTTGATGCCCTCGTCATTCTTCACATCATGAAGCATCAAGAACCGTATTCCACCTGCAGTAACGAACGCAGAAACGAACCATTCATTGAATTTATCCACAATTTTCAGGTACATGTTCGGACCGGACCACTGGTGCTCGTCCACCAGATCCAAAGCAGCGTGCGCTATGAACTGGTTCAAATGTCTGTGGTCGTCTTTCTAAAAAAAAATAAACGAGAGATAAATGACCACACATAAAATACAACCAATTAACTTCACTATCAGTTAAATGTCCGAAAACGCGATAAAAGCTGAGGAATACATCAGAAGGAATTCATGAAAAAAAAATTTCTCGTTAGAATCAACTTCGCGGCATTTTAAATTTCTTGGAAAGATGAAAAAAATCCGGAAAATTAAATCCTAATTACACAGCAGTAAAATATAATGTTTAGATCGGAATTTTTCCGAAAACAACCAAAGACAGTCACGGTCTGTACGACGTACGGTCAAGAATTTCGCTCAACGTCCCTATCGTACGAATCCAAATCACACTACTCCAAGAATTCTCATACAATATTTCAGCATCTTGTTTATAGCAGTTTTCCTATTACACTCACTAAAAATAGAATCTCCATGACGGAAATTCCATTCTTTCAAGTCTACTTATTCTGGAATAATAACCAGGAACGTTCCGCAAACTCCAACATTACAATTGCCTCACCCTCGTCGAAATGGACATCGTAGTCGCAAAATACGGTAATTGTTTTGTTGTTTATTAAAAAAAAAAAGGGATGAAGTCTGACGACGAATGTCATAAACAATGTGTCCCATCCCGCCGAGAAAAAAAAAATTCGCCAGTCGAAGAAGTTTTGAAAATGTCCCCACAGTCTAGTGGAGAACTTGAATACACACCTTGACATCCTTATTCGGAGGGGCAAATTCCATTTCATACAACGGATTATCAAGGTGTCCGACGATCACGAAATAGTAACACGAGCTCATTCTGTTTTTGTTTTTTTTCTGAAACAGTGAGAAGAAAAATTTTCCTAAAAATGCATCTCGAACTGCAAATTGACGCGATCAAAATCAACATCACGCGACATTTCTTCTATTATTCAGAAATAAAATGTTCCGCTAAATCAGGTTGCTCCTTTTCATCGGACTGTGCATCCTCGTCGTCTGAATACGCATCGGCAATCATTTCATCCAAATCTTCATCACCGGAATCCGCCGCTTCGATTGCATCTACATCAGGAGGGGTTCCCGTGACGAGGAAGTGATTGAATACCTCAAGCTCCGATTCCGTCAAACTCTTCGAAGCTCTAGATTTTATCGACGCTATGGTTGACCAGTCAGCTTTAGCTTTCACCGCTGCTTGGTGGAACTCAATCCAAACTGCAGGAAAAGGATCGATCAAGTTTGAACACAGTTAAAGAACAATGAAGCGTTCAAATTCAGTCAGATAACATTGAAATAGCCGAAGCGGCCATGAAATTATTTTTCAAGGTTATATTCAAACAGAGGTTCTCAGGACATGCATAGGGGCTCCGCAAACGCTCAAGAAAATCGATTCTTATTCCTTTTTAAAGCAAAATTAAAATCCTTTTTTTCCATTTCAAGAAGCCAGATAAGGGATGGAAAATATACGATTTTTTGCTCAAGGTTTCACTGTATCAAGTTAGGTTAGCGAGGCATTACATAAGGTTCTGATAATTACTGGTTTAAATTTAAAGCATTTATGGCGAGTACTCCGGTTATTTTGTCATGACACGGTTTCCGGAGTAGTTTTTCCAAAATGGGCATTATGACAGATAAGTTACGCTTTAGTTTTGGTTAGTAACATGCTGTACTTCAAAAAGTTGAAGGTTCTAAATTTCTCATAATACACGCAATGTACTTTAAAAAGGTACGGGATATTCAAGGCGAAAATATCGACAAAGGGTATGATTTTCTCACCAGATGCGCGCGACTTGAAATGAAACAGGTACAACTCGAAAATTTCTTGCAATCTAGAGAAATTGTCGGGCAATGTTTCCTCTATCTCCAGCATTGCTCGAAAGCAATTTTCCGTGTAAGGCGGCAAATTTGACACTTGCATAAACGCAGCTCTCGCACTTCCAATTCCTGCAGAATAATTTTACGAATGCTTCCAACTCAAACTGGTTCGAAGATGTAAAACAAGGACAGTACCTTTTGTTGCAAACGACCAGTGAATGTAGGCCCCACGGAACAATGTACAATACCTCGATTCCAGTTGGAAACTTCGTTCGAAAAAATCTTTCACATTCGGATCACTCTTGTAAGAATGGTTCTTCAGCAGACAATCGGCGGCAGTCGTGCAAACTCTCTCCGCATCATTATGCAAGAATTTATTATACAAAATCTGCTGTACGTCGAAAAATTCTTTGGCAAATTCTTCGAATTTTACAGATTTCGTCGATACCAAGAGATCCATCTTTTTCATCAGAAGTTTAGCAGCGTCACTGTTATTTCCGTCAGCCAACTTTTGATCGATCATACTATTTAATGTGACGAATGCTCGTTGAGTTTCTTCTCTGGATTGGAGAATAGAAACCTGTGGAATGAAAACACGCGGAAAAAGATAAATTATTCGAGAAGTGCATCTAATCCTTCCAATTCTCTTCACCTGCTTAGGCCGGCAAAATTTTCATGAAATTTATGACTGCGCGAAGTCTATAATATACTGTACAGCATAAGGATCGCGGAAGGAATCCGTCGCCAGATGAATATTTTCGATTATATTTACAGCTTGCATTGCGAATTAACTCTCAGTGAGATTGAGCGGGAATATTGCTATGATGAGGTGAAACAAAAGCACACACACAAACACATGGAATTAAACAAAATTACAAAGCACAAGAAAAAAATTTCCTGATGCACATACGGTTTTAAAACCAGCGACATAAGGAAAATCTACAAAAATGCTACACCTTTTCGATCTAGAAACACACAAAATGATCTAGCCATCCTAGCTCTCCGGTAAATATACATTTCTATTGATAGATATTCACCAATTGCAAACCATGGTCAACAGGTATTCGCTTGGCTTCAAATGCTCGGCACAAGAGCTGAAAGTATCTTTCAGGATCCCGTTTCACTCTGCTCATGGTCGTCGCATCTAAATCTGCGACAGTGTCCAAATATTTGCCCCACATGCTCTCCGTATCAATACTCTTCACTGATTCCTCGTAAGCATTACAGCAATTCCTGCAAAAATAAAATAAACGCATCAGCAAAGCTGAAATAAGATGCTTTCTCATTTTAATTCAATGAAGGTTCTAATGGACCTCCATTGAATTAATGTTGTCATTGTTGCATACCTGAAGTACAGCACACAATTTTCCAAATGAAGAGTTACTTTTGAGACTTCAGAACACAGAAGCAGTCACCGTAATAAAACCCATATTGTATGTGATATAAACTTGAATGGGAAATCCAACAATTAAAAAGACTACAAAAATTAATGCTGTACTGTACTTTCAAGTGCTTAATTTAGAGTACTTCGACCTTTGAAATTTCAGATGCCTCTCCTTCCTCCCAACGTTCACGCAATTACGCAGAACAAATTACTACATTGACTTCAATTCCACACACCCTTAAGTAAGAAATGCACTGCTTCGGGGGTTTTCTGTCTAAAATTTTGGTAAAATCGTATCCTTGAGTAATATGCGCACCCGACTTTTAGTGCGTAAAACTGCAACACTTCGAAAAAAAAAAGATTCAAATTTGAATTTGAAGATGGATTGAACTTGATTCACTTAATTTTCAACCGTTTCCACTAAAAGATGCTCTTCTGTGAAAATTGGTTCCAAAATCCCACGAGAATCAAGTATAACGCACACGTAAATTCACAAAACTTTGATAAAAATATATACACACTTTGACATGCACTCACTTCTTCCCTCTCAATTTGGGGAAAAAACAATTACAGTACTCAAGTAAATTCAATACAATACTCGAATTATTTGTAAAATAAAATGATCAATTCCACAAATAAGGTGATAAATACAGAAGTGTGTAATGAATGGGTATGATACACGCAAGAATAAATAATTAGCAAATAGCAAAGGTTGAAAGTTAAAATTTGCAGTGGAGTTGATCTGCTCGAATAAAAAAGAATCGAACCTGAAAACGAGTAGCCGTAATTTTTTGGAACATAAAATCGTACCTGTAATGAAGCTTTATGAAACGAGGTCTGGAATGAGGGTACTCACTCGATTCTTGTCTTAAGTTTAGGCACTTCATTTTCTTCATACGCGTCCTTGTCCAGGAAACGTCGGGCGACTGTGTCGTGGGTAATATTGCAGTCGGGAAAATCGGATACGAGTTTACTGACCAGCCAACTCCTAACATCTTGAGCGAAGTCGAATTTATGCGCAATAGAAAGGAAAATAACTGCTAGAGCAGGCACTTCGTCTTTCGGTACATCTTTCAGCGCTTCTTCCGCAACAATTTTTGCCAAGGTGCCAGAAAGCACTGTTTCAGAAACTTTGTCCATTTTCGATAAGGTCTTAGTGATTTTCATTTTTTTCTTGGGACGAAGATTTTCTTCGGTAAACTCTTCCATTTCATCTCGAAGTTTCTGTGCATTAGATAACTCCATCTGGAAATGCTGCATGGGGTATCAGCAGAAACAAACATTGTTACGCCCATCTTCCTCAAGATCCATGAGAGTACAACGAACCGCAGAATAAATTTGGTGAGATTTTGGATGTCGCTTGAGGGCTCGCAATAAGAGTTTCCTCGCTACGTCCGCAGCGAGGTTCCTTTCGAATTCCCATCTTGCTGCAGCTACCCAAACTTCTGGTTTATCTCCATGAACAGCGAGCATCCGGATATATACCGCACTAATTTTCCGGTTCATTTTCTATAAGATGGACATAAAGCTGAACACTGAGAGTGAAATCTTAAAAAAATATCTTACGATTTTCTGAAGAAAATCCAGGTAAGATAGCCAGATATTAATATCTCCCTGATGCCGGAATAACACCATGCGGAAAAGCCGATTTATTCTGGCGATGATGGAGAAATCAATTTCTCTTTTCTTGAAATAATACGCCGTTTTCTGAAATATAATTTAATGGGTATTCTCAGAAAAACTTGAGGTTTGATCAAGAGCACGAACCTTTCTCCGCCGTCTGAGAAGCGACAAAAGCTTTACTTCGTAATCGATGTAACTCAGAAAATCTTCCTTCCGCTTTCTGAACCTCCGAATCTTGTATTCGAAATGTTTCTTTTTCCGCACCATCGCCCTAGGAAACAGAACGAACGAAATTATTACCATGAGAAACTAAGAAGAATAATTCATTGGACTCACCTAATTTCGTCTTCGGTGAAAAGACCAGTTCTTTGCATCTCTTCCATTTCTGGAATCATATCCTCCAACGCCTTTTGCACTTCTTCCGCCATTTTCTTTTAATTCTAAGCTTTAACGTGAAAAGAAGTCATTAAATGCAGAAGATGACGTACTCCGATGAACAATCCCTTTACGAAGAATACGCGAAAAGAACACATGCGCGCGAAACACTAATTTAAAAAATGGACGATTGAAGTGTGCAAAATCCTAGCATTGTTCTAAGCTCGCCTATGCAGGCTCTCATGCCCGTACTCCGCACCAAAAATTCCAATGAAGGACACAATAAATCGTATTTCGCAAATACTGTACTGTACGTCGATTCAATTCACGCACTATTCACGCTTGAAGCCCCACTTCAACGAACTCCAACTCCGCGCCATCCAATTGAACAACCGTCCTTTACCACGTCGCCACGGGGCGCGCCATTCTCTCTCAGAGCCACCAGTGAGTGACTACACCTGGAATGTGAGGGTATAAATTGGGAAGCCTCCTCGAATATAATAACATGACATATACTGTACTGTATTTCAAAAACATTTTTAGGTTCGGTAGGACTACGTTAGATTAGGTTAATTTTCAAATAAGTTTACGTATTTTTTTCCTACAGCGATTTTCGAATGAAATCCCATATTCAGAAACATGTGCTATTCATGAAGTTTCTCATCTATGGCGTTGAGGGAAGGAAGGGGAATGGATGTCAGTGTCAGCAACATCAGTTAGGCATGGAAATTCCTGGAGATATCCCATAATATTTCAGGCGTGGGCTGGAGAACCTAAGAAAAGCACAATACTTCTGCTCTGAACCTTGCTCTGAGCCGCAGACCTTGGAGGGGGTGAAATGGTATGATCATCCCCGCTTATGCTTCCCTAGTTCTTCCTGATCAATGCTGTACACTGAAGTTTACAACTGAATGCTGGCCAACGGCATGGTATTGTACCTGGGTTATTGCCCGTTTCAAAATACTGTGCTTACTCAAGTACTGTACCATGACCCCTTGTATAATAAGCCTTGCACCCCATTCTTATAAAAAAGTTGATCTCATCCCCCAGAAGATGCACACGATTTTTACTGACTGCAGAGCTAGACTACTGTACTTCAAAAATGAAACACCAGCATTTCAACATGAGTTCTGCTAAATTGCAACAAGATTTTAAGCACATTTATTCAAGTTAGGGGTAAAAATGAAGATCTTAAAAATAAATTCGAAATACTTTACCTTGATTCTGTCTATGATAGATTAACTTATTCTCATAGTGCTTATATGATTCTCGAACAGACCTCTGAACATCCAATCTGGATCATAAGTAGACTCCGGTAAATTTACCGAAGAGCATCACTAAAACTGGTACCCGTTTATGTTTTGGAAAAATCACCTTTGACGTTAAGCATCAACGATCAATAATTCGTCCACCTCTTGTACACTTGTAGGGATTCCTCAAGCAGCGACACAAGGCAGCCAAACCTTGATCGGTCAGAATTTTAATCCAAGAAGCCATATATACACTTCAGGTGACGCAAGAAAATCCCAAGCATAACGGAATAATATCGTCGTATTTACTTCAACGCACGCGAAAAAAAAACAAAAACAAATTCGAACGATGATCTCAATAACATATTCATACCGAGCAAACGCGTATTCGGGAATGAGGGCCTAGGTAAACGTTGAACTCGCGGTTCACACGCTTTCGCACTTCCACATAGCAACGGAAAGAACACCATTCAGTCGATCAAAATATCCTAAGTCACCATCATTCATCTCACATTCCATCGGCTATCATTCTAAGGGTAAAATAAGCTGATTGCTGACCTTCAACCAATCCAGGCAATTGGACCCAAAATTAAATCTTATGCAAATTGCAAGTTTGCATACTCTTAGGACCCAGACTCGCGACGATGCTTTCAAGCTGAACCCGCAGTAAATCGGATGACGGGTAGACAAGATGGGCAACGAAAAAATGTCATCTTCGACCACGCGATATAGAACGACAAGATGGATTGTTTCCAACAGTCACAACCTGGCCCAGGTTCTTCAACGTAAACAAAGAAGCTAGTTAAATAGGAAGTTTCTCAGGGTGTGGTCCAAAGAATCCTAACTTCTCCATAGCACGAAAAGGGGAACAAAATTCAATAAGATATTAGACCCAAGATTAAAAAGAAGTCAAGTACTACGTCTGCAGCCCGAGTTAAAGAGACTATGAAGATCGGAAATTTCAACTTTTACAGCTCAAACCGTGATCTACAACGCACTGAAAAAGTCTGAGGGCCTCCGTCATGGCATCTGATCATAAAGAGGTATCCATCACAGCATCTGATAGTGCGGAAGGTTCCAACATAGAATCTGATGGCAGAAAAGGGGCTCCCTGCTGTTAAAAAACGTCGAAGGACCCTTCAAAAGCTCATTGATTATATACTTTCGCCAGAGCCGCGCTAACTTTCTTCCATTTTTCTTTTTGGACCACCCACACAAGATTATTGCGACGGAAACTTTTTCAAGCTAATCCGCAAGCTCTCATCAAAACTCGAACGAAGAAGAGGAACACAATTTTGAAAAACAACAGCAGTGAAGAGGGAAGGCACTTCGGCGGGAAGCCGATTATTACTCCACTATAAGGACGGCAAACAATCGTTGAAGACGCGAAAGATACCGATGCAAAGGATTGCTTCCAATTCAGCTACACGCATTATTTAAAACTGCCCAACACTTTTTCTCCGGACAGCGATTGTAACTCAGTCTCTTGATAAGGACGAGTATTATTCAAAGAAAGCATGACGCAACTACACCCAGCAAAAAAAAAGTGCTCAAGAAAACAAGCCTGACTCAATTTGAACATAAATAACATCGCATCACGCGGCAGAAGCTAGCACATCTCGAACACGGCTCAACAAACCTCCAACTGCGCGGTATAACACAGTTCACATAATTTCATCGCGTTATATACTCGTTTCCATAGTGCGAGAAAATGAACTAAAAATTTTGCGGGGAAAACGAAAAAAGCACCTCACTGAAATGTCGGTACCGCCAAGAGAAAACAAATGCCGCAAAAAAAAAAAGAGCTCAAACAAAACTCATGCCAAACGATTGCAGTATTCAAGACGAGCCCCATTATCACATACTGCTCTGCCTCTACGCTTTTTTCTTCATGTGCAGGAAAAACAAATTTGTCAACCAAAAAATCGTTTCACGAAAGAGAGGGGAATCTTTTAAGCGAGATCCATGAAATGCGCGAAGTGAACAAGGTTCAACGTGGAAGCAAAGCGCCAGAAACCAGCCCGTGTCATTTGATCACCGATGCCCGCATTCAAAATTTTTTTTTCTAGGCTTCTCGAGAGAAATGGGATAATACGAAGAAGGGCACCGACAAGAGGAAAAACAAAAGCAGTTCGAATTCATCACTCTTTCCTAGTCCTACGCCGCCTTGGACTTCCTGAATTACCAACTAATGGATTCTTATCTCCGCCACCTTTCTCTTCAAGAGCTTCCTCTTCTTCATCCTGTTCCTCCTCCTCTTCCTCTTCTGCTTCGCTTTCTTCAGCTGCGTCTTCAAGATCATCCTTCTTGATCTTTGACTTCTGAAATGGAAGGAATGTCAAATTTAATACAGAAATTTTAAAAATTGAAGTCACTCCGCAGACACAAAATTTGAATTAAGGATCCGTCGCATATCTTTCAGACTCATTAGAATTACAGTGCATGGAATAACTTTTCTTCTCCAGTAGATGACCCAATAAGCGGGATTGAATTGACATACAGGTATAAAGATATGCAAACCTGACAAAATCCAAACAATTACACCTTACGAATACAGCTGCAAACAATATATTTGAGAATGAAAGCCATCTGCATTAATGTTCAACTAAAAATAAAATTGGTAATAAATTATATCATTTGGTTTCTTTGAACAAAAGATGATGGAGTCTGGAGTTCATTTTACTGTACTGTATTTATACACTTGAATCTCTCGAGGTCGACTTTAAATTGAAAGGACTCCAAAAAATTCAACTGAGCGAGTTTTCAACTTCCGAGAATTCCGCTTCATTTGAAAAAGTTTAAAATCATTTTTTGGCCAAATTATTGAAACTCGTCCTTATTCCTAATGTTCCATGGGCAGCAAAATACCTCGTGCCTTGCGGAGAAATTTACTGTACAGTATAATTATTCATTTGCAATTCATTTTCGCATTTTTTCTTTCGGAAAATTAATGTTTAATTACGGCCCAATGGAATGACGAACAGCCTCGAAAATCCTATTGGGATTGGCCCAAAAAGTTTCCAGTTACGAAAGGTTTAAATTGCATTGCAGACTAGAGAATAGGCCAGGAATTGACTGAAAATTCGAATTGAAGAGGATTTTGACTCGAGGTTCAACTGGGCGAGGTAAACATTGAATGATACTGTACGAGATATACTGTGAGGGTATTACCCATTTTTAAGCGATAAATCCAAGCATGAAATGCAAGAGGAGGGGAAAAATAAAATTTTGAAGCTTAATTCCGTTTCAATACAACTCTTGGAAATATCAAACATCAGACAATCCATGACTTGTTTTATGCCAACATCCATTTGATGGATCTTGTTCATTACTCGTTTGAAAACATAAAATAAACAAAAGTTTAAATGACATTGGTACACTGTACCTGTAACAAAGCTTCATTCTCTGCATCGCCTTGTTCCTCCTCAACTTCATCATCTTTGCTGGCCGCATCAGTTTTCTTCGCCGCTGCAACTCCTTCCGCAGTCTTAGGAGATGAAAACATTCGCGTTATCGCAACAGATGAAAAAAAATCATAACTCGTACTAAAGTGAATTTTCACCTTATCGGATGTGGTTCCGCAGCAAAACGTGAGGATCAACACAAATGGCAACCCAACTACGACTACAATTACTGCCCACATCCACGGGTTCTTATTGGTGAAGCGAACCAGACGTCGGAACCAAGTGTCCTGCAGAAACAATACACAATACGTGGCTCTAATCTTCTCGAAACAATTCCAGATCTTGGTACAACGGGGCGTGCGTCTATAGACACTTAAAATCTGCTATTGATTCTTGTGTCTAGATAATACGAATGTTTGGTCAGGCGTCAGCCAGTGAATCATCACCTGAGCCTCCTCTTCGAGACTTGCCTCCAAATCCCCACTTCGATACTTGGAAACTAGATTCCATACGTACAAACCAATGGGGATGGAAATGTAGACGAAGTACATGGCCCACCAGTGGGGGCGATAATTCATCTTCTTCATTAATCTCGTCCACCACGATTTCTATCGCACGACAAGCAGAAACGCACCGTATGGACCCATGACAATTTAAAAGATTAAAATCGCAGCTACAGGCGAAATATCTTCATACAATTATTAATTATAAAAATACAATAATTCGGGATAAACTTTATAATAAGCTCAGCTAAAAAAGAAAAACTCGCCTCGCCAGCATCCTGCTTTTCAAGTTTCAGCTGGAAAGTATCTCGAGCATAATCTTCAGCAACTTTCTTGTCTGATGTCACAACGATGTTATCGAAATACACTCCATCTGACATCGACCACAGCTCGAAGCCAACAGCTCCCTGCAAAAATAAAAAATTGAATAAAATATGATTAAATAGTACACGAACAGAAATTGAGTGCATCACAGAATGCACATGACCCAGAAAAAAAAATACAGATAGATCGGAATCTTCCGAGTTTTTCACAATAAAAGTTGACTACAAAGATTCATTTGAGACAAAAGCATGGCAAATATCTCGAGCAAAAACTACATTAAATAATAATTACACTGGTAATTAACAATGAACGAGTTCTTTACATACACATGTCAACCTGTGAATCAGTTCAGTCGGGAAAGTTACGCTTTCTCATGACAAGATACTTCGCTTCCATCTAACGCTCGCGCAAAAAACATGAATTGTTCGCCAAACTCACGATATCATCCATTTTGAAAGGTTCCAAGTCCTCGAAGTAATCCGGGTTCGCGACTTTTCGAGGGCTCCATTTTCCTTTGTATGCGGGATTATCAATCATCGGGGGATACCATTTCCCTCTGTACGAAGGATTGTCAACCATCGGCGGAGTCCACTTTCCGCATCCGGGGGCCGTATCGCAAACAGGATTATTGATGAGAGGAGCTTCCCATGCACCGTCCATCTCCTCGTCCCTGAACAAAGAAAAAAGGAACATAATTTTCTTCTTTTTTATTTTTACAGTGAAAATTCTTCCCAAAATTTCAATTACAGCAAATTGAAAACCCGATAACTCTTATAATCATGCGCTAATAAAGGTGAATCGAAGATGGACTACACCAGACAAATGAACATGCAGATGAATGTAACTCGGATGCAAATTTCATAACTTTCCGCTCATTAAAATGTGAAGTGATCATAATTCACGTTTCTCGACCTCTTTGCAGCGCATTATCGCCAGATTTTTATTTACAAGTACTTTTATAGTCGAATTGTTTTCAAGTTTTTTTTTAGTACAAAATTTTATATCTTTTTACCGGAGTTGCTACACCCGCACACGACACACATCAAGCTTTTTCTCGCAGTTTTTGGGAAAAAGAATGAGAGGAAAAGTGCGAAATGCGTTCACGTCAATCTAGCAAAGCGGAAAGATTTGGGTCCGTTAATTTATGAATAAATTATTTTGTTGATTTCTCACGTTAGTTAAGATATATAAAAAAAAGGTTAGACGTGAGTCTGGGATTAGGTCAGCTGGGTGTTGAAGAAGAGTATCTGATCATAAATTGTAAAGATGTTAAGCCATTTTACTCCAATTTGAATTTGTGCTACGTCAGTTGAAAGTTTGGTGTACCAAACTGAGAAAAGTGGTGTAGTTCGGTGTTTTAAACTAACAATGACACTTTTTAGCTAAGCTGACATTAATAAAGCAGCGATGTTGAACGAGTCACAATAAAAAAACTTGGAAAAAGAAAAGAAGCAACTCATTCGGAGTATCCTTTTACCTAAACGGTTTTGTAATTTGGAGTCGAACAAACAAAAGAACACTCAACAACTCTGCATAATTTAAAAAAAATATTTTTATAATTACAGCTATAATTTACAAAATTTAAATTTAGCTACGTAATTCGAATGAGCACGCTATTAGACCATTCATAAGTTTAACCACATGAATTAATTACCAATCATCGGGTTTTTTTGCCTCCGGATCAGGAACCATTTCTTCTTCGTCATCCAACCAGCCATCGGGTTTCACAGCCTTCTCATCGGGAACGTGTCGGGGAGCGTTTTCATCCCAGTCATCAGGTTTGGTGGCTACTGGATCTGGGATCTTCTCACGCTCATCCCAATCCTCTGGTTTCGAGTCCGAAGGGTCATCTATTTCCTTCGGTGGGTTCACCGGTGGGTCGAAATCGACCAATAACGAGCCTGAGTTTGCGATTTCATTGTCAACGAGAACTTCGAAGGTGCTATCTGGATTCAAGATCAAGGTGAACAAATGCGGCTTTTTGTCTTTGAATAATTCCTCGATCTTCGAATTCGGACGCTTGGCATGTTTCTCTGCGTAAGTTCCATTTTTCGGATTTCGATGTTGGAAAATGAAATGCAACTGAAAAAATTCAACGATAAATACACGATCACTCGATGAATACTAGACAAGTTTTTTAGCGAACCTTGTAATCGTTGCCGCACTTGTCCGGACCGAACATTATGGAGTATTTCGTCTTGTCATGGAACAGGTTGAGATCCAAGTGCTTCTGATCAGAGATGAGTTTCATGTATGCTCCACCGCATTCCATACCTCGTTGAAAGGCAACCTCGTACTGAATAACAAATGGTTTTCCAGCGGCGAACGAAAACGGACGATTCAACTTCGAAGATATAGCTGCATGTTTTGCCTTGGATTTGAGAACGAGTCCCATGTCTCCATCCAACGGATCTCGTTCCAAGCTTTCCAATCCCCATAAACCTGTCAAAGAAAAAATGTATAGTAAATTACTGTGGAACATTGGGAGTATCACAGAATAGTTAAGTACCGTCGTATTTCGCGATATCATCATCGACACCGTCCTTCTTCGCTGAACTTTTAATCCAGTTCTTTGCAAAATCGGCTTCACTGTCGAAGTGTTCGGAAAAATATACAGGTCCTGACGGTTTTGGGGATACGTAGAGGACTTCGTGCAGAATTTCTTCTTTCACAACCTGCAATATCATAAAAAATAAGATTTTCGTTGAGGGAAGGTATACAAATATTTACTCACCTTAGGATCGCTTGAATCGAAATCATCCACCACATCAGCTTCATCATCATCGAAAAACTTTTCGGTAGAAACAACTGATGACAACACGCAAACCGAGATCAAAAAGATCATAAATTTCACACGAAACGTGAGTTCCATGATTCGAAAGCTGCACTCTGCCACTTTCAACCCTGTGGAAGAAATAAAAAATAGGCTAAATAAAGAGATGATTTGTGACAAGATTTATTTTCAATGGGTGAACATTGCGCCATTCACCGAGTAATCTACGTTGAGGAATCGTCCCAGGAAATGTGACATACAGCACCATATATCGTTCCAAACTTCACAAGGACCACTTCTACGAAAGTCAAACGTTCACATCAACATCGGTCGCGAACAGATTCCTAAGGAATCTTTTTCCGGAAGCCAGCTACCGGCATATCTGCTTCAAGCTTACGTGTACCAACGAAATCAGGCTTCTCCGCTAGTCATGTAGTCGACGCTAATCTCCGAGACCGAGAGACAACAGTGCAGTATTAACGTACCGTACTATACAATCTACTCATACCAGGGAGTGCCCTCAGAAAATTTTGGTTGGTTCTACTGAGCCATTACGTGTACGAAAATGAGACAACTCTTTGTGATGCAATGATACATTTATTAGCCCACCACACATGAAACCCAGGAATATGAGTAATGCACAAAAATGAAACATTAATCCTTCATCTAGGATACATAGCCTGTCTTCCACCATCAACCGGCAGGCATGCTCCTGTGATGAAGGATGCCGCATCACTGCTGGCCAGGAAAAAAGAAATCCCGTCTGCAACTTCATTTGGCTCTTGATCCAGACCTTCTAGCAAGTGCAGCATGAGTCTCCCTGCTGCTCAGAATAAGAAACTGCATAAAATTATTACATAAACATTAAATCCATTACAAAAGCGAATCTCTGCATGATCAGCTTTCTTAATACAATACAGTAGCATGGAAAATTTGTACAGATTTCAGAGCCAAAGTATAGCGCAAAAATCAAGTCAATTATAATAGAAAGCATCAGTATAGGGATAAGCATAATAACAAAAGGTTTCACTTTTGAGTACGCGTCATCATCCAGCGCCATGTGCAGCGGTAATCAACGCGATTTTTCTCATTGCATGAAGGCCATTTCAAAAGCACTGATCTTCTGATTAAAATTTGACTTTTTAACAAACGCATTTCGCTTATCAATTATAGTCAAGAGTACTTTGACGTACACAGACACCAATGGCAAAACCCGAAAATACCATACCCTATTATTTAATTTTATACCCAGCAGCAGAACGATTTACCTATAATTTAATTTCGTGCAATTTTATACTTCAGCTATAATAAAATGCCCCATAGGTATTATTGTTTTAAAAATTGACTCGCGAATGAAACCTTTGCAAACTTATTGAAACATAAAAAAGATAATCATATGCATTAATTTGAGTCATTTACACGTTAGAATAACCATTATTATTAGCCTTAAACGCGCGTATATAGTCAAACGAAACTATATACCCAAAAACCGCGAATCATAAAACCCAAACGTACCATAATGCGTTGCGGATGGGCACAATTCTGCTGGTAGGTTCACAAAAGGAAAAAAAAAAACGGCACGAAACCCGTAACTATTCTTCCCGCATAAATCAACGGGATTCATACTCGAAAAATAATATGAGGCGTGAATAACAGGCCTCGACAACTTACATCCAATTCTCTCAAATGAGAAAAAAAACATTAATCACGCAGTGTGACAAGAATGTGACGCCATCATCTTTCGCAGCACGCAAATAAAAACGTCAAAAGAAGAAAGCATGCAGCATCAGACACACATCATATTGCATGAACTGCTGCTGCCTGTTCCAGCAGCACGAAATAACAAAGACTAACATGCAATAAAGCCGAAATAAGAGAGAAAAAACCCCGTCAAATACTGTATATATACAGTATTTACACTTCATCAGCATGGAACACTGCGAATCGAGAAAAAAAACCATCAGCTTTCCACATGATTAACCTGACCAATCGAAGGCGACATTCCAACATAATCTCGCTTATTGATGTTTGCTGCAATTTTTCCCGCTACATTTTTCCATCAATATCGACGACCAACCCGGCCAAAACGAAGATGAGAGAAATCAACTCAAAACCAATCATCGCATATTCTTATTTTATTACAATCAATTATTGAGAACAAAAGAAACAAAGCAACCGAACAAAAACGCGCTTTAAAAAAAAATTATCATCATTATTATCTGCCGCCGTAATTAAATATTGCTGCTGCCCATCGCCTTGAGCGTGTAGTGCCACAAGGCCGCCATGATGGGTGCTGTTGCTGCAGCCGGGTGCTGACGAGCATCAGGCAACACCAGCTGTAGCAAGGATGACAGGGCCTGGGCCCCGTTGGTTGATGGGTGCTGTTGCTGCAGCCGGGTACTGACGAGCATCAGGCAACACCAGCTGTAGCAAGGATGACAGGGCCTGGGCCCCGTTGGCGTTGCACTTTTCGCTCTTGCAGATGCAGCCCTGGAACTCTCGTCCATCTTGGTTGTAGTGCTTCACTTTGTCGTAGCAGCCCCTTCTGGAAGTGCCGAACATGTTCTCCTCCAGCACTTGGTTCTTTTCCACTTGCCTCTCCAAGATTTTACCTGTTGATTTGAAAAAAATGACACGTCAAACCGTTTTCAAGTTGAACTCAGAGCGACCTACTGCGTAAATGTTCGACCCTGAGTGCTTTGAATTTAAGAAGAAAAAAAGTTTTTGTTTTGTTTGAGGACGAAATGAAGAGTTACAAGAAAGTATAGAATGAGTAATATTCTGGGCATTAAAAAATTGGAAAAGTGAGTTGACAGAATGTCATTTTCTTCTCCACTGCTGCGTTGCTCTTGTTCATTTTCATCTTCAATATGTTCTCTATTTATTATAGAAAAAATGATGGACATCTGTTGCACCAGAAAAAATAGTACAATACAATAAGAGCAAAAACACCTTGCCACCAAAAATTAAATACACATCATTTAGCCACCACTATTATATTAGGCTGTGTAATTTCCACTGGCTCACCAAGATGATCATGGCAATTATTACACTTGTTTTGGGTCAACCTTTACACTGCCTGATGTTCTCAAACCTTCAGGTAATGGGAGTATGTACCAAGCCTTATATATATCTCTCACATAAATATAGCCATCACAGGTAACTATACCTTGTCATACCCAGGTTTTCTTTTATAAGAAGATCCATGATTAACCTGAGAGAGGAAGTAAAACAAATCACAATCAAAGCCAATGTGGCATATATAAAATGAAAATTAAATGCCAATCACACATACAGTTTTAAAATGTTTGTTTGAAGCACAAAAAGCTAACAAAATTAACTGCTCTTCCTCATGCATTCTGCTCCTTTTTATACTAGATATTTCAAATTTGTTGAAAACCTTCCTGAACAGCAGAATGGTATATAATTTAATCCATATGCAGAGTAAATAAGTGGAAGAATTTGGGAATTCATTTTTCTCCTGAATGAAGAAAAGAAATATTTTAATTTTCACAGCAGAGAAAACAGAAATATCTGAGGTGAGAAAAAATGCAACAAGTGAACTCAACACAATTCATGTGAGAAGTTGTGATTAAGTCATTACAATAAATGGTGAGTTGTTGCAGCAGCAACTTTTACCTGCAGTGACTTATGAGTTGACAGTGTGGCAAGTATAACAGTGGCAAGTTAAACAGCTTGCAGCAGGTTAAGTGCATACTGGCAATTTAGAAAGTGGCATGTTTAACCAACACATATGCTAGAGTTGATCTTATTTTAAGTTAAACTTGAGGAACCAAAAAAAAAATTGACTCATGGTGTTTTTCAGTTCAAAAAGAGCATTTTAACGTTTCAGAAATAAATGAATTACTAGCTGTATAAGGAAGAACAATTTATGAAATTCTGCTCCTTTAACAGTTTGATAAGTGAGTTGGCTGTTATTTTCTTATCCAGCTCTTGGTTCTTTTCTACTTGCAAATCCAAGATCTTCCCTGTTTGAAAATAATGCAGTTTTTTTTACAGCAGTCAAAACTCTTTCAAATGAAACAGAGTGGGACCAACAACAAGTTCAAATCTCTCAAGTTTGATATAATTGGAAAATCAATATTTGTCCACACTTCACTGGATGTATGGTATTGTATACATTCATACCCCTGTAAGTCAAATTTAAATGGAACAGATGATGGACCAGAAAAAATAAAATTGACTTCGGGAGGTTCCCAGGTTGGGAAACAAGCATTTTTGTTTTAGGAAACATGAAATAATTGCAAAAAATTGTAAATGGTGATATTTCGGGCCTCAAATTGCTTCTTGAATGACTTTGACAGGATGCTGAACTTGGAGGCAGGGGTTCATTTATTGCCCAATTATAGTCTTTCACTTCCTTTAAAAACACATCAAGTTAGTTTACATGTTTTACTGCTTTTCTCTTTCATGTGCCAATAAAAAGTATTAGCCAAAAGGCATCAAAGAATTTTACTCATCAAGGCTTGAGAGGAAAAGCCTTCAAGTTATAGTGAAGGTTTTTAATACATTGTTTCTAAAGGAAATTCAGGTGGGGGCTTGCAACAATAAAAAAAAAGATCGACTTTGGGAGGTGTTTGACTTATCGAGGTTCAACTGTCGCAACAAAACGGTAAATGTGCACAGAACTGTACCTTTGTTGTCAAAGAGCACAATGCAGCTCTCGTCGGCCTGCACACCCTGCAGACGGCCATAGTAGGTGATGTTGCTGCCCACGAGGCTCTCGTCGTTGTCGTCGAACTGCTTGCACGGGTCCTCGTTGGTGGCCCGAGCTCCTGGGGCTGCTGGCCCAGTTGAGCTGGCCTCATTCTTGTTGTTGTTGTTGGTATGGCCACCTGTGTTGACGATCCGATTCGTTGACCAGCCATCCAGGTCCGAGCACACGTAGCAGTCGTATGCCATCACTCGGGATGCTGCATGTGTACAAAGGGTTGGTTCATAAGTCTTGAGACATTTTTTAAAAAATACATTCAACAGAGTTTCAAAAATCCCTAAAGATGTTTTTGTTTTACTCACATAGCCCCAAAAATTTGGAAACATTTAAAATTCCTTTCAACATAACATTTGCCGATTTCAATGCATTTTATCATGCGATGAATCATCCGGCAATGAAAACAGTGCCAAAAATCGAGTTCAGTTAGCTGATTATAGGCCCCCTGAGACCCGGATATAATTAGTATACAAAAAGGAAAGGATAGTGCACAAGCTGGAGGTATGTAATAATAAGTACTATAATATATGTACACATGAAGCCATGATTTTTTTTTTGTGGTCACCAACTCTCATTATTTTTCAATTTGAAATCAACGAGCCAGCTCGACACGTACGGTGACAATGCCTTTCATTTTCAAGACGTTCAATTGTTCGCTGGTGTATATGAAAGAATTGCAGCATGCACATTATTTACATTTTTTCATGAATGAAGAGTATATATACAGAATTGCTGTACGTATGTTTTTTGGGAGATACATTATTAGCTCTACTCCCTTCCTAACAAGGCATTCCAAAAGAAACATCATTTTCGAAAGAATGACTGGCAGTTTGTCAGAAATGAAAAAAAGAATTGGCGTTTTTTCTCTTACAGCAGTTCAGTGGATTAAATATTTATAGTACTGTATATCAATTTTTTTGAGTTTTGAATTTATTATCAATCTATATAAAATGTTATTTTAGTTTCAGTGTATACACAGGTCATCATTTTTTTTTGCATGAGCAGAAGTGAGCATTGGAAAGCGTGAATTTTTCAAATAATGTTGCAAACCAGGGGGCTCTTATTTGCAACGGTTCTCAGTCACATCATCCACTAATTTTTCACAAAAATCTAGATGGAATTTTTAAATTTAAAGAGTATAACCTGCGCGGTCTTCACATAATTAATTTAACTTAATTATTGGTGCTTGGACAGTGTCCCTATATGTCAAAATGTCCCCAAGTTGGATCAGTTTTCCCCATATAATTAAATATGAACTTATGTTGTTGGTTCTCGTCCAGTTCATAAATAACATGTAAGGAATTGGTCCCCCAAAAATTGAATAAGCATTTTTTCACAACTGTACAGAAAATGACTGTGCAGAATACTACACTGAATCTGATTTTTTTGGCATCAAAAGAAGCTCAAGAAGCAAATGACAAGAACAAGTCTTGCTGTATAATGTGTACAGATGATGAAAAAAAACTCCATAATAAATAATAACTCCATAATAATAAAGAAAATACAAAAAAGATGCACAAAGCTAATCTGTTTGATGCATTTGAGTAAATTTATAATGACATTTGTGCTAACACTTTTGAGCATAAATATGTAGCTCAATTTCTTCAAGATACATCCAAATTTCAAAAATGTTGAAATTTTTCTAGCAGTTGTAAGCAGCAAGTGCCTGTACCACAAGATGCAGATCCAGATGTTGGGCAATTTTTTTTTATACTGTGCTTCTAAGTGTCTCCAAGTCAGATTGTACCTATATGTCAGGGTCCAACTGTATTCTGTAAACCGGCTCAATAAAGATGAGCATGGACTTCATAAAATATATACAAACACTTGAAGACAACAACACACCCCTCTGAAACATTGGAGTACAACATGTATTGTAATAAAAAAGACATTTTGGAGTGTTTTATTTGATTTCATACTTCAAGGAAGAGTATATGCATTACTATCTGAGTGAGATAATATCACTCAACTCTTTGAAAAAGGCATTGAAATTGAAACATTAAAAATTCTTAAACGAAGGAACTTTCAATTTGCCAGAAATGAAAACAGAATTGGCATTTATCCTCCTACATTTCAGCAGAATGAATTTACAGTACCTAAAAAATCAATACTGCAGATACGGACTAAGGTGCTTGAATAGGCAGCAAAAACGACTGGATTGGCAGTAAAATCCTGGTGATGAGCAAAACACCAGCACTGTTGTTTGAACAGATATTTTGAAGAATTTTCTGCGTCAAGGGGTGCCAAAATTCACCATTTTTAGCATTCCAAAAACCAAACACGAAAAATTAAATATGCATCGAACTTCCTCTGCAATTTTGACACGATTTAAAAAAAAATGAAATTTGGGAAAATACCGGATTATGTGCAGCATAAAAATGTCTCTCTCTTTTTTTGCTCTACATTCCACAATTTTGTAAGTTTTTCAAGTGCCAAAAAAAATTAAAAAAAAAATTAACACGGAGAAAACTCACTTGAAAAATAGCCCAAGAGCAAAATGGAGAAGACGAGAGTCAGGGAAATTCGTGATTTGACCAACATTTTTCAATTACTCTTTATACTGTGATGAACAATACTGCACTGTTTCAATAGTCAACTCAAAATGTTGTCCACCAACAGAAGAAAAGATGGTCTGAGGCAACCGAGGAAAAACCCTCTGGTGTTTAAGTAAGCACCTTATCAGGTGCAAAAATCCGGCTGCGCCTGTTTCATTTGTTTAGTTATATATATGTTGAGTCAGTCTTTCCTAGTACAGTATATTTAAGTAAGCAAGCACAAAATGCATAAAAGAAAATGGAGATAAATTTCAAATCTGTGTCTTTCATTCCCCCCCCCCATTTTAGTCACATTTTGTTTGTTTGCTGATGCAAAGCTGTGTGAAGAAACAGGGGTGACTGCAGTATATTGCAGTGTATATATTTGGGGGTCCAATTTGGTCTGATTGTTGAGTTTCTGCCCCCCCCCCATCCTTCCCAGCACCAAGATTTTGTATGTGATGTGTCATCCAAAGGATATGCATATATGTTTCATGGCCATTGGTCCTCTTATCAGCAGTGGTGGGTTTTTCTTTACCTTTTTTTGTGGTATTGTTGTTTTGAGTGTCCCCTGATAATATTTTCCTGCTTCTTTTCCTGTTCCTGGAAGTTTCTATCATACACCCATCCAGATATTTTGCTGCTGGTGAGTCAAGCAGAAGAAGAGTCATTCATATACCCAGTCATATTCAGCGCTTTTCTTTCTGTCTTGTATTGTGTATACTGTATATATGTATTCTTTTTTTTCTGGGTGGCTCATGTGACTCAATGTCGCATGAGAATGTGGAATACCCTATATGGTATGTTCTGTGTGATGACATTTTGTATGAATCTGTTCATGTACATTCAGGAGCTTTTTCATCCCTTAGTTTTTTCCTGGAGCAGAATTAATGATTATTCATCCTGATGGACAAGAGCTGATGACTGAAGAAATCATCAGCAGTTGTTCCTTATAGATTCTTCAAGTACAGTTGAACCTCTTTTAATTAAATTCATAGGTATTGCAGAAGAAAAATTGATTTAAGGAGGTTCCAAGTTGGGGAAGTCACTGTTTTTGCCCTTAAAAAAATAAGTTAAAGTAGTCAAAATAATTGGTGATATTTTTGGCCTGGAAATGCTTTATGAAGAAGCTGAAAGGATGAGGATTATATATGATGAACTTGCAGCCCAGCAAATAACCATCAGGCATATTTTTTGGATGTGTAAAAAAGAGGCATGAAAGCAGCACTTGCATCCAACCTGTATTCCATTGCTGGCTGGATATGGGTGATTATTTTTAAATATGGGCAATTTTTGGCAATAGGAAATGAATGATACAGTATATGTAAAAGTTACAACACCCAGCATAGGGCCATAGCACACCCATTATGTACAGGTGTGCTGAAACGGGTGTTTTTAGACAAGGACGGAGAGAAAATCTTCTGCTGCAGAGAGAAAAATGCAGGAGTGGGGGGACTGTGTGGATGAGCCAGGGAAAGAACCGGTGCCAAAAAGGCTGAAAATGTGCCATGTAAAACAGCGCAGCAAGGCTGTACAACACTGTACTAGCTATACCGTGCTATCCATATTTAGTGCGGCATGGCTGTGCAAAGGTTGTACAGCCACACTGTGCAATGTGAAAATAAAATTATGTTAAAAAAAATATATATAAATAGACTTATTTTATGCAATACAAATTGGGAAAATGATCTTTATCAACAACAAAAATGTTCTGGGATAGTGGTTCAATAAAAGTTTGGGGCCACATTTTTATTTAATGTAAAGGATGAGAAGGTATTCACTAAGGCCCCACATCACTTTATTAAGGTGTGGGCCACATTTTCATTTGATATATGAAAATGTTTCCCACACACATTTTCACAATACTTCATAACTTGTTGCCTGTTTAGCTTAGTGGTTATGGTGGTGTGCTCCAGGTTTGTGGACCCCAGTTTGAACCCGCAGAGGGTCTGCATATTATCCTTGCATTGACCTGTTTAAGCCTTTTTCTGCCATTGTGTGTGCATGTGTATTTCCTAGTGTTTTTGCAGCAAATTATGAAATTAAATAAAATATTTTTTTATTTTTTCAACTGTGTAGCAATTTCAACACGGTGTGCTGGCTACACTAGTTGTACAGCCATGTCTTGAATTTCAGTGAGGTATGGCTGTACAACCTTGTATATACAGCCATGCTGTAATTTTTTATGACTGCAATATTTGATGTGGTATACAGCTGTATATATAGTTTTACAGCCATTGCTGCACTGTTTTAAACATGCCATGCTGTTTTATGTGGTGCTGTACAATGTTGTATACAGCATCAGGACCATGTAAAATAGCATGGCAAAACACCCATATTCTAACATGTGTGTATTATTTACAGGTGTCACCCATACAATTTTGACCCAGTACCCAGCATACTTGAATATAGGTGACTGCTGCCACCCATCCATTTGCCATGGGTTCATTGCAGGTGAATTATTATTAGCTGGGAGACAAGGATTAATTTGCCAAATTATTATTTCACTGCCATTCAAAACACATACATTTGAAATTTGTATTTATTTTCTCTTTACTTTGTTGATAAATAATAGCTAAATAAAGTACCAGAAAATTTGAGTTATTATTGAGGGGGAACTTCCTTGTGTTTTGGAGGTTTATGCATGTGAAATCTCTTTGATATGAGCTTGTCTTCGCCAAATTTCCTCTTCACGATGAATTTTGTTTAGTCCCTCAGGGTTCTCTCCCCATGGAATATCAGTTATCTGCTGCAAGGAAAGTTCTCTATACTGTACAGCTGTTTTTTTTTGCCTGTTGCATTCAGGGACTATTGCAGCAGGGTAAAAAAAATATTTTGCTTTTCTAGACACAATTGCCTGCTCATCCCACCGTTGGTGCCCTGCTCCAGGGCTCAAGACACTTTTCAGTATGCCAACACTGACTGTAGTACAGTAAAATTCAATTACAATGGATATATCTTGTTGTAAAAATGTTTCCTTTGTAATACCTGCAGTTTTTTTATATAGGAACAATATTTCATGAAAATTTTATTTTTACAATGTAATTTTCATCAGCAATCTTAGTATAATGAATTTTTACTTTTATTATATGTGATGCATCTTATTATTGTTCATTACACATTTGAAAACTTAAAGTCATATAAAAGAATAGTTCGAAAGACATTGATACACTGCACCTGTAACAAAGCTTCATTCTCAGTATCGCCTTGTTCCTCCTCAACTAATTCATCATCTCTGCTGGCCGCATCAGTTTTCGTCGCCGCTGCAACTCCTTCCTCAGTGCTCTTAAGAGATGAAAGCATTCGCGGTATCGCAAAAAAAAAAATATATATCTATATACAGTAACTTGTATAACAAAGTAATTTTCCACCTTACTGGGATGTGGACGGTGTGGTTCAGCAGAAAAACGTGAGGATCAACACAACTGGCAACCCAACTATACGACTACAATTACTGCTCACATCCACGGGTCAATTCTTATTAATGAAACGAATCAGACGTTGGAACGAAGTGTCCTGAAAAAATGAAACACAATACAGTGGCCCCCTGCCTAACAGACCTCCCGTGTAAGGGATTTTCGCCGAACAGACCAGCTCTGCTAGCAGTTTTTCCTCCTGCCCAACAGACAAAATCCACCAAACAGACTTCTTTTGGTTTAAAATTAGTGTTGAAAATTGAAATTTTTAACTTTTTATGTAATTGAATTCATGTAAAGGACTTTTCATCCAACAGACTCATCCCTTGCACAAATCAAGTCTGTTAGACAGGGGTTGACTGTACATGGCTCTATATAGTCCTCTTGGAACATTTCAAGATTTTCGTATAACGGGCGTGCGTGTACATAGACATTTAAAATATGTTGTTGATTTTGTGTCCAGCAGGTAATAAGAATATATGTTGTTTGTTCAGGCGTGATCCAAAGAACCTTTACCTGAGCCTCCTTTTTCCAGACTTGCCTCCAAATCCCCACTTTTTTTATTTCTTCCACTTTCAACACTGTGGAAAAAATAAAGTATAGGCTATGTGTAGAGATCATTCGTAAGATCGTAACACAATTTATAATGGTTGAACATTGCGCCATTCAGGGAGTAAGCTACATCAACGAATCATCATCCCAGTAAATGGGACATACAGCACCATTGTTCATACAAGGACCACTTCTACAGAAGTCAAACGCTCACATGAACATCAATCGCGAACTGATTTCCCAAGAATGCCTTTCCGGAAGCCAGCTAGCCGCACATCTGCTTACACCTTTCGTGTACCGAACGATCCGGGTATCTCAGCTAGTCAAGTTGTCAACGCTAATCTCCGAGATCGAGAGACATCAGCACTTCAATATTAACGTACCGGACCACAAGATCTACACATATCGGGGAGTGCACTCAGGAGGTTTCGGTTGGCTTTACTGAACCATCATGTGTACCAAAATGAGACAACCATTTGTAATGCAATGATACATTTAATAGCCCACCACGCATGAAACCCAGGAATAGGACTAATACACAAAAATTAAACCTTCATCTAGGACACATAGCGTGTCTTCCACCATCAACCGGCAGACATGCTCCTGTAATGAAGGATGCGGCATCACTGGCCAGGAAAGAAATCGCTTCGGCAACTTCATTCGGCTCTCCAGGCCTTCCAAGAGCATGCGTCTCTCTGCTTCTTAAAAGAAACTGCATAAAATGGAAAACATAAGTATTAAATTCAGTTCAACAGAGATTCTCTGCTCTGCTTTTACAATAGCATGGAAAACTGGTACAGGTTTCTGAGCCGAAGTACATAGCTCAACAAATTAATTCATTTAAAAGAAAGTATCGATCAAAGATAAGCAAAAGGTCTCACTTTTGAGTACGCGTCGTCATCCAATCCCCCTCTCCTCTGAAGATCCGTGACTGTCACTCCAGGACTGCAACATCAGAAATACGCGTCATGAATATGTTATCGCCAAAAAAAACAGCAATATCAGAGGCTCACTTCACAGCATTCACTCGAACCCCTTTCGGCGCCAATTCTGGCAACAGAAATGAACACATCATTCCAATCAATCAACTTTCCATTTCTCGAATTTACGTAATCCTCGGGTTCACATACCAAGTGCAGTGCATCTTGTGAACTGATCAACAGCAGCTTTGGAAGTGCAATAGGCCAGAACATTTGGGAACTGCAAAGATCAGGCTCTGAAAGTGAGTCATGTCATTCAAACTTATAACAATAAGAACTAACCGATCGCATCCCATTCACACTTGAGACGTTCACAATACATCCCTTAGTCTTCACCAAATGCGGGACAGCCAGCATGGTCAAATGATACACAGTCCTATTTGAAGCATGAATAAAGCACAATCAATCATTGACTAATAATCTCGAAATCTGGAGATAATGACGCTTGCCTGAAATTTGTGTTGAAAATACGATCATATTGCGCCAAACTAGTGGTTTCTATAGATCCAAGCTCAATAATCCCGGCGTTGTTCACCAAAATGTTCAGCGATCCGAGATTTTTGATGGTTTCATCAACGATCCGCTCCACATCTTTTTCCTCGGTCAGTTCCCCCGTGATACAAAAAGGCATGTTTCCGGATTTTGCTTGACATGCTTCCGCTACCTTCGCAATTGCATAAACAGGCACAGGATCAGTCAGCTGATTCGAAAAAAAAAATGTGAATACGAAGATTTATGTAGTTGCCTTTTTCAAATTTTCCAAATTTCTGCCGGTCAGGGAAAGTTTAGCGCCCAAGGAACTGAACAGGATAGCAGTTGCAGCTCCAATGCCCGAACTAGCGCCGGTAATCAACGCGATTTTCCCACTGAGTGCCATTTCAAAAGCACAGCTGATCTGATTAAAAATACAGCATGATTTTTTAACGAACGCATTTCGCTCTTTAGTCAGGAATATTTTTGACTCACGGACACCTCAGCTAAAACCCGAAACTACCATACCCTATAATTGTATACTACACCTAATAAAATCCGCCGTAAGATATTGTTTTAAAATTCGACTCGCAAATGGAACCTTAGCAAACTTGACACATAACGAAGCTAATAGTATGCATCGAAGTCATACACGTTAGAACTTGAGCCATAAACGCGTAGTCAAAACGAATCTACCCAAAAACCTGAATCATAAAACCCCAACGATCTTTCTCCAAATATGATGCGGATGCATGGGCACCATGCTGGTAGGTACACAATAGAAAAAAACGACACAAAACCGTTCTTCCCGCATAAATTAACGGAATTCATACTCGAAAAAAAAATAATGAAGCGTGAATAACAGGCTTCGACAAGTTACGCCCTATTGTTTCACTGAAAAAAAAAATTTCGATTACAGAGGGTTACAACAATGAAGCCCTCATCTTTCGCAGCTCGAAAAAACAAAGAAGAAAGTACGCAGACACACATCATTGCATGAACAAAGCACTGCCTGTTACAGCACGAATAACGAAGACTAATACAATGGCAAAAAAAAAGAACAACTTCAAGTACTGTTTTTACTATTTTACTACATAATGGAACACCGCAAATTCGAGAAAAACCCGGCTTTACTCCTGGCAGTCGTCAGAATAAGACACAGAACCCTGATAATACAGCATTGGAATTCCAATTCATTTTCCTCTTTTCATCAAGATAATTATCCTTGGCTTTAGAGCGGGCGTATATTGATGAAAAAGAAAAGACATTATTCGAGTCACTCAATTCTGAGTTGGAACTCCACTTTACCAAAGCACGATACAAATTCACATCAACAGACAGGGTTTTCAACATTATCTTTTCATTCGACACCCAACTTCTTAGATTTTGAAAATTAGCACGCCGAACGCTTCTGCCTCGAGATTTTTTCCCGCAATTCGGTAAGCCAGAAAAAGTGGGTACAATTTTGACAGCTCCTGTCATAAATTTATACATAACTCACATACAGTATATTGTTTCGATGATTCCAAGGTACAGTACGTGGAATGAAATCGATTGAAAAATAGGATACGAGGCAATCCGCACCACAACTTTAAGATATTGCATTCAGGCTTATGAATGGTGCCCTCCGCCTGGATGATCAACTTCGACCATTAATGGACATTCAGTGATGTAGACTTTAAAAAAATTCTCAAGCAAAATGATCAACTAACTGCAGGCCTCTGCGCGTCCTCGACAATTTGAAGTTTAATCGAGATAGACAAAAAGGAGTTTTACCGAATGACGGATTGAAAAACATTTCCACTTCCTTCACACAATCGTGACAATCCAAGCTGCAGTATTACGTACGTCATTTCGTTGACAGGAATTCGGGGGAAAACAAGTCTTCTTTCTGTCCGACACTCGGGTCAAAACCATTCATAGAACACAATTTCGAAAATATCTGATTAGAAATTCCACGAGGAGGCGAAACACGAACAATTCAATCTTCAGAGGAACAATTGATACAGAAACCTGTCACGTATACGGGGAAACACAGTCAAATAGATCATCACCATGCTCAAATCCGTCCGGGGATTGATTTACAGTACTGTACCGTCATTGCCAAGATTTCAAGCACCCGCGGAACTCCTGCGAAAAAATAAAAATTCGAATTAAATGAATCAAATACTACACCGAAACGAGGCACTTGAAGAAAATTCAGCTCCTGGTTTCGGACGGTATATTACATAAAATGGATCCTTTATTAAACTGAAAAAATGACGCTGGACAAATTTCACGGCAAAAAAAAAAAAAAACTTCAATGCAACTCCGGAAAAGCTTATTCGGAAAACCTGAGCCTAGAACACAAGAAAGCTAGTTTGGGGAATGGGGGACCAGCGGAGTATGTCGGAAAACGTAACGCGGATTATCAAACTTTCCGAAATAAAAATTGCACTTCATTCGGGGAGGAAATACATTTACAATGGAAGATCTCCTGCCGTTCAACTATTTACACATTCTGTCCAAACAATGGGCGAGAACACATCACGCCACAAAAATTTTTTTTTGAATTTCGCCACGGCGAATTTCTTTCAGCTCTCAAAGCGATTGACCTAATATCATCCATCTTCTCTTGAAAAAAACCCCCACACGAAGAAGAATCCCTGAACCACAACAAACTAACAAAAAACCACTCCGAGGAAGGTGCGTAATACTCATTCACATCATTCACCGCCAACTGAGAAACCAGATCGCGTCCACTCAGCAAACAATAAACAAAAGAAGGCCGCAATTACTATAACCACGATGCACACGTCCGAAAAAATCCCACGGCGGCGACTTTTCCACGATTTCTTCTGCAGAAAACTAAAAAATGTAACAGAGTTTCAGAAAATACCGAGTCCTCCAAAAATTATACACAGCTTCGCATGATCGTTCCTTGGGTAGCTCACAGACAAACAGTTAATCCTTCAGTCTCCTGTCAGTAAGACAAATTTCCAAAACGTGTCGAACTCTTCCTCACCTTCAAAAAGACGAATTATGGCAGACGAAAAACGGGTTTTACAAACCTAGCAAACTGACAACAACCAACATCACCTCCTGTTATGCTGAAGCAGAAAACGGTGCTTAATGCAAGATTAAAACACTAATTTTCACATTTTCCGCTGCAACCTAAATCACAGAAATTTCGCGGAAAACGGTAACTAGAAAACAATCTTCGTTTTTCTTTTCCGACGCGGGAGGAAATTTTGGGACCATACCCATGGCTTCCCAAAGATAAACCCAGAAAGAACAAAACCGCTCTCGTGAAACCACTTTCGACATGATCACCTCGCAAACCACAAAAATTTGGCGGGAAGCATTTTTAGAAGTCTTCCCGAGACTGTACAACTGAAGGGAGAAGCAAACCGGTTGACAACACAAATCGAACCCAACACTGGCTGGCTCGTCTAGAAGTCAGTCCCACACAAGAACCTTAAAATTCATGAACATTCAAGCAGAACAGAGAAAGAAAAATTGTCCCTTCCCAAAATTTTCCACCTCACACACTCTTCACTCACGTCCCACCGGGTGCAATCGTTCACTCAGAAAAGATCAGTTATCACGCCTATGTACAGTCGGAACTATCCCAGAGGACCTAAAAAAAAATTTTCTTTTTACACCTGAACATGCAGAACGTTTCCTACTGTCAACTACAAAGCACTCAGTTTCCACCTGAGGATGTTAAGAGTCAAGTCTTCTGGGACAGACCGAGCAATTTCTTTTTTCTTTCCGGAAGATCAAAACCACCGTCACGGGATACCAAACGGACCCCACAGCATAATTCCACAAAAAAAAACCTAACAAAATGCCTTCAAAGAAATCAAACCCCGCAAATAAAAATCAACGCCACAGTTGTCTTCGTTACACTGACAAGTCCTTCAATTTCCTTACGGTGTCTTCAACACCGTCAAATCCGTCTTTCTTGCGGCCTTTTCCTTTCTTATTTTTCTTTTTGCTTCCGACAGCAACGTCATCACGCTTCGTCTTCAGAGTTGTGGTTGGTTCTTCTTGTCTGACGTCTTCATCCAAATAAACTTCTTTTTCTTCTGGCGACTCGATCCATTTGGCATAACCTCTTCGCACCATCTCTTCATTTATATTAAGCAACGTCTGTAAATGAAAAAAAAATTGCTCAATGAAGTGAGAACTAGTGTATTTAGTAGCTCGAGCTTTAATTGTATAAAGCACATCGGTGTTCGAGACTTGATTTTTACCGAAAGATGTACAGTACAATTTAAAATGAGAGACTTCTACTAATTGCAGAAAAAAGAATCTAGATTTAGATTTCAATCGCCCAAAAATGCATCCCGTACATTCGGAATTCATTCATGTGAATCTCTAACTCGTCCTAATCCACACTTCGCACTTTTCGAAATTTGAACATTAAATAGCACGTGCCCAAAAGGGGACGAAACCCAATTGTGATGACAGCCATGTGATGAAAAGGAAAACCATAATCGGATGTTAGATCAGTCACAGAATCTCGGACTTTTCACATCTCGGTTTCAAAAACGTAAAAAAGGAGGCGGATTGAACTCACCATATCTTCATTAACACGGTAGATGTTCACCACGGAAACACCTTCAACAGTACAGCCCAGCGCCTCAGCCTGAAGCACATTTCCGGAGCAAAGTTCTTCTAATGCAATTGCTGACTCAGTAGACCACTCCTCACTCCCTGCAAAAATAGTTTTCAATCACATCACGTACGAAATCAATTTGAATTCCTCGAAACGTTCTAAAATACACGCGTTATTCAATATGTTTCAGAGAGAAACCTAAAATAAGCGACACTCACCATTAGGGTCGACAGGAATAATATTGGCAAGATAGCATTCGGCAGCTTGGAAGGGATAGCACACAAAGTCCATTCGGATTTGGCGGAGACTCTCAACCGGCAGATCCGCATAACCACCATAATCAAGAAATTTGATGGTCACGTTTTCAGAGTCATTTTCATGGGACATGACTTGTGAGCGGAACCAGCCACCCTGTGCTGGGGCCACGCACACCATCCCAGCTACGAACAAAAAATTCGATTCGTATATTAGAAGAATAAGGTAAAGTTTCTCTGAGCTGTGTACTGTACTTCTATACAAGACTTGCTCGAGACGATATTAGACAATTTCTACAATTATGCCGTCTAATTTTTTACGGGTCTTCCCACTTCAACACAACTTCCCGGAATTCCCTGCAGGTGTCGTCCAAATGACTAACCCAACCTCTACTGAACATAACAAGACAGACCAAACTAACAATTCTAGTAAATAAAAAAAGTGATTATAATTGTACTCCACTTATAGAGAATAAATTCATCAATCTACAATAAAACGACAGCGATGCGACTGAAATGCTATGATACTCACTGTCGAGAGGACGCGGGAGACCGGGACACGTAAGATCGGCGTAGCAAACGTGCATAAGATGATCCAACGTTTTCAACGAAGAATAGGTAGGATGAGTCGGTTGCTGAAGAAAGAACTGTCCTCCACTCACTACCGCTGACACGTAGGCATCGAACATCACACTTGCCGGCAAATGCAGCTGCAAAATTTTCAGTACAGGTGTAATTATTACCAATGAACCATGTCACCGAATTTTGCTTCATTCACATTAAAACGAGGATAGTCTCGAGCAGTCGACCATGAGTTAACGCTTTAGGATAGCAGCAAAATCCTTGGAAGTAACTTGAAAAAAGAACAAAGAATGAAGTTGACCTAGTTTTCAATGTCGGCACTGAACAAGAAATTTATCCAACACTTCGTTCATCTCACACAGTTCTTCAACATGCGGTCAAGGCTCCAATTGAGAATCACTGAATCGAATGAATATCATAAATTTCAGAACCAACTGCACCGCAGATGAACGTTCATTCAACATGAAAATTATTTTCAGGACTGAAAGTCAATAAAATGGATACGGCATTAAGATCGTCACAAGATACTGCAGTAACTTATACCCCAACCTTGGCAGAATCAATTCATAAAATCTGCTTCAAAAAGTAAGAAAATTAAGTTTACGGCATCATGCTTTTCCACACTCGCACCACGGAGAGATTGTAGCGACGTGTTTGCTTTAAAAAATGCTTCACGGTACTCAAGAGCGTTGGTTTCACCTGATAAGTGCTGGGAACAATTATAGGTGCAGGTTGGAGACCCATGTTGATCAAGTGACTGGATAGATAATCAACACGCTCCAGCTTCACTTCGGGAAAGCGCTTAGGGGGAAAACGCTTGCGAATCATCACCATGGCCTCCTCGATCTGCCGCTGGGTACCTGAAAAAAAATTTTCATTGCACAACAATCCAGTTTGGCAATCTTCCCATCAAGATTGCATTCCGACCCACCCTTCCGAAACATGTACCAGAAGTGAATTTGAAAAAGACTTCACACGTTTTCCCGTCCTATCTTGCTACGACACCAATAAATCGAGTTGAGCATACTGTACCTCTTACAACAAAATCGTCCTGGAATTTGAACAGAAAAACAGATACTAAATTTCAATTGCGAAGATAGAAAAGACGAGCAAAATCTCGAGAGAATTTTGCTACAATTATCACTGAGGGCATTTTTAAATAAAAATTAGTGAGCTTTGAACACCATATACCTCAAATGTCGAAAACGTTAAAATATCCAAATGAAGAACGCAAAAATTTTCCACTTCAGGAAAACAAGAAAAACATGAGATGGTCACCTAGAAATAAAATCTTATACTCAAGGCGTCAGAAATACCCACACGCACGTGGGATCTTATCTGTTGAATCACAGAAAATAAGAAAAGGCAGTTGCCAGGCTTTGATGTCAAGAACCGGGTTATTCGAAATAAGCGATTCAAGTTTTCGAAAGGAAACAATGCAATCTAACCCAGTGTTCCCAATCCCATGGTCCGCGGACCAGCGCCGGTCCACAGGAAATTTACTCCAGCATAATAAATGAAGTAGCTGTATAGGGTGTTACAGTATTTTCATTTAAAATTTTGGCAAGAAAAAAGCAGTTGAAATTATCTGACGAACGTACATGTTGGATTTTCTCCTAATAACACTTCGGACACATTTTCACCTCATAAAATAAATTATTTCAAGTTTTCGTTTTGTTAACCTTTATTCTAGCCAACCTTTCAATTTTTTGAAGACAGTTCAATTGGCTGCTTCGTTGGTTCTCGACTTTGCAAAAAAAGCAGAAAATTTTTAAATATACCTGCCATGAGGTCTTTCACATAAAACTTTTCGAGTCTGAAAAAATTATGAAACTTCGCTGGTCCGCAGAAAATTTTGTGAAAATTTTATGCTCTGCAAAGAGTGTGATGGAAATTTGCCGGTCCACGGGCCCAAAAGGTTGGGGAACACTGATCTAACCTACGAATAAAAAAGGCAATTCCTGTGTTGAAATTTCACAGGCGCATGATCTCGAATATTCGACGAATTAACAACTCAATAATCGCAAATGAAAGGTCACTTGCATATCGCATTTGCAATCTTCCCAGTTATGAATTTCTATGGTAAGAACCAGATGTTTCGCAAAAAATAAAAATTAGTGCAAGTTCCTTGCTATAGCTGTCCACTTCAAACGTTATTGCTGCAACAATGTTGACCCCGAGTCTCCTACCTCTTGCCGCGCGTTTCAAACACGACGGTCAATAAATACAAAAATAGAAGTTATAGCATCGAGTTTAGGTCTTGTATCAACCTCTGCGAGCCAAAGCTCAAAATATTCCACGTATGGTTCTTTGTAATGTCGGAAATCAGCAATACAAGAAAAAACCATACGTCCTCAGGAAAGCCAGGAAACAATGTACAGTACAACTATTCCGCATTGCAAGATGAACTTCCGTCATCTCGAACAATCTCATATCGTAGAAAAAAATTGATCATGGCGAACGTTAAGAGAAGAACGCCTGGAAGGAAAAAAAACTAGTTCATGACATAATTCGGCTGAATCATGGGATTCCTTACCGCAGAAAAAAAACGAACAAAATTAAATTTTCGAAGCGCACAGTAACAACGTGTTCACCGGCCTAACATGTGTGACTTTCACATCCTTATCTCATACATGAACTTTCGGCAGAAGTTCACAGAAGGCAATGGCATACTTCGAACAAGACACTTACCTTCGACTGTTATGAGCTTCATGCGGTGGTTGCAAGGGTGTTTCCTCACAATCACACTTGCTCCACACTTATCGCGGATCTCGTGCACATTGCATCCGTACTTGCCGATCAGGAACCCAACCAACGGTTGTGACAACTCGAACTCGTACAACGTGTACGGCTCCACCGCCGCGTTCTCCGAACTATTCAAATTTGCAATCTCGCTCCCTCCCTTACCCGAGTCAGAAGATACCTTCAAACACGTAAGACATGTTGAGACCTCAAGACTTGGAAGAAAGGAAACTATTGTAATATGCTTACTTCGCTGGAGTTGTCGGAGAACGTTGCTCCATTCTGATCAACACCGGCTTCCAACGAAGGGCTGTGGGGGGCTGAATTCTGTTCTTGACTTTCCTCCTGTGACTTCACATTAACCTCCTCCATCGTAGATGCCGTCGTTTTCGAGCTCTTATGACGCAATCGAGCCTGATTCTTGATAGTCCAACTAACACTCTCTCTCGCGATCACCTTCAGAATATCGCTGACGTTCACGTCGGAAGAAACCTCACGTTTCCGCTTTGATAACCAATAGTAGTACGACAATAACGCTATGGGGGCACACGTGCTTATCAAGAGCGCTTTGGACTTGGAATTCATCAACAATTGATTGCTGAAACGGAGGAACTTTTTATTAAACATTGCATAGGCAAACAAACAAGCGACATGTCTATTTAACAAGCACTTGGTCCTTCTGGCTGAATTCTGACCCGGCTTCGCAAAACCCAGTTTCAACACGTTCATTCCAGCAGTTCTCGTAAAAGACAACTCTACGCACATTGAACGCTGCGGGAGCACTAAACCAACGAACAATAATTTTCTCGAGTTCACATATCCGCCGCCGGACAGAAATAACCCCCTCCTTCAACTATTGCAACCGTGCTGAAGAACAACGCTTCGAATTCATTATGGTAATTATAACATATGCACTCGCCTGTACACTCGGTCACTCCCGTATTCATGAGCATAGATTCACTAGTCATCAATTGGATGCTCATAACTTCGAATGCCAACTATTCTGTAGTACATCAACTCATCCGTCTGAAGATCCAACACTGAAAGAGGCGCCGGCCGGTCGCGCATTGAAATCATCCAATTGGCTTCCACTCAACAAGTGGACTACTGATTCCGACACAAAACACTTCTCTAATCTCACTTGACGGATAAACGACATTTCTTAATCCCCATCCTCACGCGCGGTCTGCGAAAACACATCTGGCAATAAACACAGCGCCTGTAACGTGTTCACGTGGAACGTTCGACACGCCTGCCACGTTCACACAAGTCGCCGGGCCACCATCATGTTTAGGCGCGCAATCTGTACGGCTCTAGAAGACATTTGACAAAGATTCCGCTGCCACGAGTACATGTGCGACGCAGAAAAACGACATCTATTGAACTTTCCACCATAGATTAAGTCTTTGAGCGACACCTAGCACAACAAGTCGCAACCAATGTGCAGGTTCATCCAGCCCACCGGTAAAGATTTAGGGAGCGACCGGGAATTCACAGTGGGAATTCGATCAGGGTGCACATGAATGCCTTTACCCTGATATCGAGGTTATGTCTGACACCTTATCACCCAGTGTCGCAAGATCACTGATCAAGCCCCTTGATCAGTAATTGATGAAGCCCCTTATTGATCAGTAATTGATCAAGGGTAGGGAGAGCGATCCACATCTAAACTTCTACGGTTGTCGTTTCTGCGGAGGCTTTCCCGCACCGTCACCAATTGCGCTTTAATTCATTCTTTCAGATTCCGCAAAATCTGACCGTGGTTGTTAGGTTAGGTTTATAAACATAACCTGACGTAAAAAAACTGCTCCCGAAGTCAGTTTTTGTAGAATCCTGAAACTTAGGGGCGGTTAGGGTAAATCGGGAGGTTATGATATATGATTATACAAGCTACCGCATAAAGACGACATACGCAAAGCCGAGGATGCTTCTCCAGCTCCAGGATTCTGTCAAAATTAAAAAGGGGGGGGGGGGGCGCATGATAAAGGGGTGTTTGATGTACAGTAACTCGACCCATCGTCAATGCTTAGAGTTGCGTGTTCCAAAATTCTCTTAAGATGCCGCATATATTTTCTTGAATTTGTAAGAATCATTCTCTTGGAAGCGAAAATAAAATATTGCATCGGTATGTGACTGATACGCCCTCAATAATTTGAATTTTGTAGACTGCCCCTCCCCGCACACGTGTAGTGCGCCACGAGTACAGTACTGTACGCGATTCTGAGTGTAGGGACATCTACGCGAATGGGTGACAATGTGAGCATCCTAGCGGATGCTTACGGTTGTTAGTGATTCTTTGCTTCTTCAGAAATTATAGATGACGCTGTCTCGAAAAAATAATCAAATTTATTCGGTCAGGCATGGTAATAAACCATTACCATGTGCTTCAACAGAGTTAAATGGATCCCTTGAATAAGTGCGAGGTGACTCAAGGCTTAATTGCTTGAAGATGTGCTGATCCTCGAAGGATCAGATTCCACTTCAACGTTGTGACCGGACGGATCAGAAGGCTGGAGCTCGTTTTTCGTCGAAGCCCGGCGGGACGAATCATGTTGATTATTTTTACTCCCTTCGTTTTCTTTCTGCTGATGTTCGTGAGAATTGGAAGCGATTGCTTTTGTTGGTGCACTAGAAGGTGAAGATGATACAGTAGGAGCAGAATCTCTGTCAGTGCCCAGCGTTTTATGCACCAGTCCAACAATACTCTCTTTAGCATCGGAAAGTCTGCCAACTACCCTCCCAGCAATTTTCGCTGCCTCCATGCCAAGGTCACTGGCTCTCCTGGAAATCTTTGAAGGGATTGAGTCGCTTACTGCGGGCTCTGTGAAAATTTCACGACTGGATAAGGCAGAAAGACGGGTCTGAACAATGGGCGAGGGTGGCTTTGATGGGACTGCAACAGTTGCAACTTTGATGTCGTCAACATGATCAGGCCCCATGATGACGTTCACAGCATGCCCTGGAATTTCTTCTTCATTTGTGTTCATCAAGGATTCTTTGAAGCTTTCAGAGAGTATACCTGGGTTCTGGTCAGCTGCTTGGAAAAAAGAGGATACATATAAAAGCATATATCCTCTTCATATCCACCTCCATGTCTCAACCCTCAATTTAGGCAATTTGTTCAATTATCATTTGTTCTTGATATTAATGGAACTTATACAGCATTTAAAATAAAACAAATGTCAATAAATTGAAGGTATACTGATGATTGTAAAATACCCTCAGAGCAGTAAGACGTAGATTTATTCAGGAAAAAATTCATGCACAAAGTGAGCAAGCTAAGTGACACTTATAATGCCATCAAACAACTTTAGGTCTAACTTATTCATTGACCTAAATTTAATATGAGTTTTCATAAGGAAATCAGCAATTTTGATTGAAAAAGGAAGAATGAAAGGTAGATAAAATTGGCAATTCTCTGATGGTCATTTGAACTGCTGGTTAAATGAGTTGACAGGATGCTGAACTTGAAGGCAAGGATGCATTTTCTCAATGAACCTCTGACATTCTTTTGAAAAACATCAAGTCACAGTATATAGCTGGAAAATACTTCCTGGGTCCAGAGATTAATTAGTCAAAGATGCATGTTAAGACCTACAGATTTCAAAATTACAGTATCAAGGTTTAATAGGAAAGTCTGAGGTGAGCCTTTAAAGGTGAACTCTCTCTGCAACAAACTTGTCAACAATATTCTGAAATTAATGCCAAATTTTTTGCTTGTCTCAAAGGGGTTTTCCCCATGCTATAAGGGTTCTCAATGCATGAAATTCTCTGTACAATGAACAGTTTCTCTGGTACCCCCTGAATTTAGTTGTAGAGAGATGAGTCCACAAAGATTACAGCTCTTGAGGAATTCAGGCAGGGACAGAACAAACATTTGACATATAGCCCGAGTGGGGAAATTGGTGCACACTGGGGATTTGTTCATAATTCTACACAGTGACCCTGTTGTGCACCTGAAGTGTACCAAAGTTCTTCTGTTGCACATGTATATCCCCAATGTGGACCAATTGTGTGTTCACACCAGGATTACTCAGGGTCACATTTGTAAACAAATAAGTTACACCAAAGTTACAGTTGGTGCATTTGTGTGATGGTCCTGTTATTTCACATTTGTGCACCAAGTGTAACCCTGGAATGGTATAAATAAGTTACACCAAGGTTACAGTTGGTGCATTTGTGTGATGCTCCTGCTATTTCACATTTGTGCACCAAGTGTAACCCTGGAATGGTAGCAAAATTTCCTCTACAAGAGTGCACACTTGAAACCCCAGAATATCCCATATGCACCAGTTGTGACCCTGGTGTGCACCTACTGCGGGGTCACAGCAAAAATAGCTCCCCACTTGGTAGGTTATACAGTAGGTCCAATTCTACTGCATGGAGGACAAATTATTGAGTGCTGTAACCACTGAGAGCTGACTGATGCGTAAGACTTATGATTGTCTTACCAATAAAATTACTTGAGTTTGATTCTTGTTGAGCTCCTTGAATCTTGTCAAGGACTTTCTCCTTAGCCTCCAATGCCTTCTCCTTGGCTGCAATTGCAATGATTTGGGCTCCAGTAGAAAGTTCCTCAGCTTTTCCTGCCACAGCCTCCTTAGCATCACTAGCTCTTCTGCTAATTTTGGCAGTGGTAGTGCTGATTTGGCCCTTGGCTTCAGCTACCAGGTTTCCAGTCTTTTCAGCCACCTGCTCTGTTGTATTCAAAGCTGCCCTTGATGCAGCATCTGCAGTCTCAGCAATTTGCTCTTTGGCATCTTGAGCCACAGCCTCAGCTTTCTCAACAATCTGTGCTGTAGCAGTGGAGGCCTTCTTGTTGGCTGCCAAAGCAGTTTCTGTTACTTTTTTGATAACCTTATCCTTCAGGCTTTTGTCTCTAGTGTCTGACTCCTTCTTTGTAACCTTGTTCTTCAGGGTTCTTTCACTCAGTGATTCTTTTGATTTTGAGGCTTTCTTTATGATGGTAACCTTTGTTGTGGAAGACTTCTTTGACTGCTGCAGTTCTTTCTTTGAAGATGATGAAGGAAGTCTGATGACATTTGTGTGAGATAGTTTTGCTGCTTTAGTGTTCAGCTTTGTAGGGTGTTTTCTGTATTCAGCCCCAGAAAATTTTCTTTCCAGATCCACATCTTCCTCAGTGTCTGCTGCTGACCTTTTTCCAATGTGCTGAATGGCATCCTTGGATATCCTTTTTGCAGCAGAGACTTTAGAGACAACTGTGTGACCAACAGCTTCAGCTTTGTCCTGAATAACTTCAGCAGTGTGCTTGGCTGAGTCCATTGCTTTGTGGCCCAAGTCTGAAGCCTGGTGCAGTTTGTCAGTGACAACATGTTTCAGGTCAGGCTTCACATTTAAGTTGGCAGCAGTGGATTTGTCAGCATTAAATTTTGGGTCTTCACCCGCTCTCTTGTGAAAGCTGGATTTTTTCTTGAGGTTCTTCATGCTGTGGACTGGTTGAACGTTGGATTTATTCACAGAATCCTGACTTTTGGTTCTTGTAGCTCGGAGGAAGTGCACAACTTCAACTTTATCTTGAGCACTGCCTTTTGACCCTCTGGAAACTTTATCCACCTGTTGGATTAGATGGAGGTCACTCTTAGTAGCTTGAATTTGAAGAGTTTCTGATGAAAGTGTATTGGATGACACTATACCTCTTGGTGTGCTGGTAAGTTTTCTTTGATTGCTGCTTCTCCAGCCCTTTTGGGGTTGAGCAGTACTGCATTCTTTTCAGACCTTATGAGGTGAGTAGTTTCAGGGCCAATCTGGTCAGATGCACCTCTAATCAATGCAGGATTTTCCGCGAAGCTTTCTCCCATAGTTTTCCCCTTCCTCTGCATTTTCACTGTGACATCATTGGGAATTTGTGCTCCAGTAGCACCATCAGAAGAAGGAATTATTTGGGATGTAGTTTTTCTGGCCACAGAGACCAATTGCGCAGCTCCTTCAATAAAATTATGCATAAGGGAATATTATGTGTGAGGGTACCATATGAGGGAACCTGATGTATTATATGTTTCTTATCTGTTTTCTATCTGAGACAAACTCTCAAGTCTAAAGCACAGCAGATAGGAATACATTACTGCATATGCTCCAATAAATGCCCCAGCATTTCTTTTTAAAATTTTAAATTTCCCCTTGGATTTGCTGCTGATTTTTGGAAACTAAAGAGGAATGCATCAGAAAAGGCTAAAGGGAAGGGTCTCATTGTTGAGTGTTGAATTATTGAATTATTACTAGGATCAACAAAATAATGAATTCCTGGGATTTTAAACCTCCCTCTTTCTTTGACATGTGGTCACTATTAGAGGCTGGCTACTATTCTCTTGAGCACCCCTAAAGACCCCGCACTTATATAAAGACTGGTGTCTATGGGAGACCAGGGGTTTATAGGAGCATTTACAGATTTCTCTGATGCAGAAGGATTACATTCCTGGATTCCCATATTTTTATATGTATACTGGCACCATAGATATGGGAAACCATTTTTAGTGATACAATCCAGGCAACAGTATCAGAAATAAATCTTAATTTTCTCATCATCCATATTCATTTCAATTTGCAGGAAATGCAAGAATACGCTAATCAAAAGTAATAAGGTATCCATGAAAAAATAATGATTATTTTGGTGAATTTAATATAAATTCATGTTAATACCCCCATTAAAAAGACAAAATATATTGGAAATACTAGCAGTATTGATCAAAAATCCCCAAGCAATAATTTGATGTTAAATACCATATGCTAATAAAAGGAAATCTGTAGCATGACAAAATGAGGAAATGGATTATATCCATAGCAGTAGACATAAATGGAGTTTTATTACCATTATAGATAGTTTGTAGAACATCATCAGCCAATGTTTTAGATGCAGCCTCCAGGTCCTCAGCCCTTGAAGCTTCAGGAGTTGGCTGCCTAATCTTTTCTCTATTTGGCTGGTCAGAACCAGCAGGATCTTGGTTGTGTTCTGAAAATGAACCTTGAGCACTATGTTCACTGGCTGAAGTCTCTGCTGGTTTCAATTGCTCATCCTTTGAAGTTTCTGGCTTATTCCCAGACACAAAATGTGAAGGATTATGAATACCTCCCACTGTGGGTGAGATGATGGCATTGGGTGTGATATCTCTGGGTGGTGTGGAATGAAAACTAGCCATGGACTCAGAGGGGGTCCTCATATCAGGAATCCCTTCCCCACTGGGCCTCTTTTTGGACAATTTCCTAGTTGGGTTTGGACTTGAGCTTTGTGGATTTTTAAGCTTTTTATGACTAGCGTTCAACTCATTGGCAGGAGGAGATACAAGTTCATTCACCACTGGATTTTGATTAGACAATCTACTTTCTACATCAATTGATTCCTTATGGTCATAAACATGCTCTTCTGGAGTATGACGTCCCTCCTTGGGTGGACTATCAAGCTGGGATTTTCTGTCATTTTCTAAACTCTCCACAAGTTCCTCAATCAAATGTTCATTTGATTCCCTAAATTGTTCATTGTCTTGGTCAACCTTCTTTGCTGTTTTCTTAGGAGTATGCTTCCCATCCTTCTTTGGAGAAGTTTCTTCATCAGCACCTGCCCTGAAATGCTGAATTGATCCACTTGTGTTTGAATCACACCCAGCATGGAATTGACTGATGACATGTGGACTAGTGCTGCCTGGAAATATAGAAGAAAATTTATTAAAGGGTCAATGGAATTAGCATCCAAGTCATGCTGTGGAATATAATATGGATACTGATTTTAATTTTCTAGCAGGCTTATCATAGAATTCTTGAAACTTTATATTTTTTGAAGTCAAAGTTTTGGGAATGTGGTAGGTTATCACCAGATTCAATATATGCATAATCTCTCTTTCAAAAGAGCCCAAAATAAATTTAAGAAAATAATTTACCATTCATCCTGGGTTCAAGATTTTGGACAGCAGTGTGTGTTTTGAATCCATGTAGATCACTGAAATTCAAGTATCAAAATCATTCAAATATGCAACTGACAATAGGTCACAATAACTTACTCATGTGAAAATAATGAGCAAGAGCCATGTTCAAGTTCATCACAAGGAAGGCTGCAGATGGCACCACAGCTCATGGGATTAGACAAGTCTGCTTGGTGAAGAACATGTGCTGGTTCCTCAACCTTTGGGATCTCAGTAATGAAAAATTGACCATTTGGGGTGCGCTTGGTCAATACCAGCTTTTCCCCACTGTTAGGTGGCAGTGATGACATAGCATTTGTTATGTTAGGAGTGGGGATAACCTCTTGAACAATTATTTCATCTGTCAACTGAGCATCCATGATCACTTCTTTGATTGTGGGATAGTCACCTTTTGGTTTGCCACCCATTTTTTTTAACTTGCTGAAGCAGCCTTTGGGCTATAACTTGAGTAAAGTAAAAGTATGAGAGTAAATGTTCAATTCAGAATCCTATAGAGAATCATTTAATCTCTTTACCATGCAAAGGCAACAAACTTTTCCAGGAACTTTTCATGGCTTTTCAACAACAATATCTGTATATACTTGCAAGAGGCAACTTGTCATAAAGACTCATGATCTGTAATCTAGTAAAACAAGTGCCTTCCCTTGATGAAGTTTTGAAAATGTGTATATTCAGAATCAAAATTGAAGTATTAAGAGAGAATGAAGGTTACTGGAGAACTTTGTCTTCATCCTTTGAAGCATCAGCAACTTTCAAGTCTTCATTCTCATGGGTTATATTGCTCTCAGTGTTCCACAGGGTTAGGTTATCTCTCAATAATTGCATGATCAGGGTTGTGTCCTTGTAGGACTCCTCTCCCAAGTCATCCAATTCTGCCAATGCCTCATCAAATGCATCCTTTGCAATTTTGCAAGCCTGGCCAGGATCATTGAGTATTTCACAGTAATATACAGAATAATTCAGTGCAAGTCCCAAGCGGATTGGATGGACTGGTGCCAGACACTTAACAGCAAGTGCCTTTGCTTCTTCATAAGAGTTCTTGGCATTGATTCCAGCAACTTTCCGCTCTTCTTCACTGGAAATTTCAGCCAGATATCTGTAGTAATCCCCTTTCATTTTTGAGTAGAACACCTGGGATGATAAAAATAGAATATGACAAACTTATCTGCTGGAAAAAATGTTAAAAATGTGTACCAAGGATTCAGGTAGGGTTGTCTTCTTGATCAAATGTGTTTCAAGCAAGTTCAAGACATCATTGCAAGAATCTTCAAGTTGTGATTCAATTTGTCTTCTGTATTCCTTGATGATTTCAACCTTATCTGCTGATCCTGAAGCTGCTTCTCTTTGTTCTAAAGAAACAATGACTCTCCAAGCAGATCTCTTAGCCCCCACCACATTCTTGTATCCAATGGACAACAAATTGCGTTCATCAACTGACAGCTCAAGTCCATTCAAAACAGCCTATATTTCAAAAATTATAGAATTTTAAACAACAAAAAACCTGGCTATTCTTGTCCAACCTGCTTCATGTATTCAACAGTTTCATTGAATCGCTCTGCCTGGTCAGCTAATTTGGCCTTGAAAATCAAACTTTCATGGGTCTTTCTCTGCTGATCCACCATTGACTCCATTTGGATAATTTTGTGCTGGCAATAATAAATGAGCTCTTCCAGAAAAAAACTGGAGCCTAATTCTTAAATTAGAAGTATTTGAATTGAACCTTCATCAACTTCCCAAAATTCATCTCCCAAAATTCTGGGAACCACTTATAGGGCTCCAAAATGCAAATGTAATTACTTATGTGTGTGTCCTCACCTTGGGTCAAATTTTTCCCTTTGACTTTGAATATAAATTTATAATTGATCAGTTTACCTCTTCGGCAACAATTTCAAGAAGTTTCTGTGAATTTTAAAAAATGTTTTTCTCAAATTCAATGCCCAAATAATTCTGCAAAAGAACATAAATGAGCGCTAAAAGGCAAAAAACCAAACATATTCTACTTTTTGCCACTGTTCATTTGGGGAAGGAATTAAGGTAAATACAAGAAAATTATTTTTATTATGTCCATATCACTTGTTCCACTTGTCCATGAGGCACCAACCAAAAAATAAAATTTCCTTTTAAATTGAAATTTTGGCTTATTTTTTATTTTTTGAGGACAACATCTTTCTCATATCATGAAGATTCTCTTTGTGTTACAATCAATGAGTCAAATTGTCTGCAGATTAGGGTGTCCATATGACAAGGCCCTCCAATATGTACGCTATTTGTGACTGTACCGGATGGTTGTATTTTCAGGAACAACAAACAAATGACCACAAACAAGAATTTCAGGGTATGAGAAAAAAAGTATAACATTGGTAGAGAGCATTAGCCCTTTTGCAGAAAAGATTGATATCAGGCCTCAAGAGAAGTCTCCAAATCATCAACTTTTCCCATGGTGTTGACTGAGGACTGTGTTTGCACTTCATTCCCAAGGCTGGGACATGGAAAATGATAATTCATAGCTGAAACTTGCATCTTTTTGTCCCACAAGGAATATGCTGGATTCAGAAGATCAATGTTGAAACCAGCCACTGAAGCATCAGGCAGTTGGAACTCAACTTCACAAAATTTGGGCTTGGAAGAAACAGTTGCCAGGGTGATATAAGCTGCTAATACTGTTTGAGACTCTGCAGGATCCAGTTTCCAGGTAACAACTTTGCTGTTATCACCAATCTCACACCTGAAAAAGCCATTAGTAAGAATATTCAACTGCAGATCTGAAAAAAATGTAAATGCTTGAGTGACTTGAAATTACCTGCAAGGATTATTAGGATCATCATCAACAGCAGCAACTTTTCCACTAAAAACAATAGAAAGCTTGATGCATCCAACATCAACATTTGGAGCTTTTGCAAATCCAACGAATGAAACTTGGGTTCCTAGCACAACCTGAAGCACCTTTGGTTTAGGTCTGTCCCAATGTTGCTCCAGGGTGACAGGGAGCCAATCTCTGAGTGTGCTTGTGGATATCTTGTACCTTGCAACCTGGAAAAGTTCAGTAACAATCATTCAGACCAATTCAAAAACACAAAATGTCTGTCTGCCTGCCTGAAGGCCAGTAAGATGATTTCCTGGGTTTTGTAATTTTTCAACCACTGCCAGATACTCTGCAAGTGCTTTCATGTTCAATGAAAAAGTGAGAGCTGGTGACTTTGAATCATCCTCTGGTTTGTCACCAAGAACAACAGAGATAGGCTCAACAATCCCTTCAGCAATTTGGATCCCTGGCCAGGATACATGTTTCTTGCCATGACAATGGCTTTTGAAAAGTTTGAAGCTAAGAGTTGCCTCAGGATTGTTGGACTCCTCTTTGAAAAGCTCTGCCAACTCTGAAGACAGTGACAATACTATGGAGCCCAGACATTCAAAACCATCTTCCCTTCTGATGAAAACCTGTGATATATGAAACATTTTCTATCTTCTTGCTGATTCAGAATGTTTTTCAAGCCCCACCTCTTTGATATTAGCAATAATGGGAATTGTGTCATTATTGTCTATCATTGGGATGGACATGCTTGCAGCACTGGGTAAATTCACTCCTTGCAAACATCCATCAGTGATGGAAAATTCATCATCAGTTGAGGACACGGATGGACGCTTCGTGGATGTGACAGACACATTATCACTGAATGCTTCAGCTGAGGTTTGGGGAATTGGCAGTTTGAAACTTGATACCACAGGCTGACCACCATTCATGCCAACAATTGGTACTGAGTTGAGAGATGATGTATCATCCCACCAGAACTGAGTCAGACCAGCAGGTTTCAATTGTGCTTTACTTGGCTTGGGCTTACATATCCTGAATGATTTTGGTTCCTTGTGGTTCTCTTCAGCCTTGCTTGAATTGGCAGCTTTTGAATTTTCATTGGAGATAGACTTGTGCAGAACATCTTCTGTCTAAATTGAAAAGAGAATAGTAATGAACAAAAAAAGTAAATACTGTACTGTAGTCATCATGCTACTGTTGAAAAATTGAATCCACTCTGAAAGTCCCCAGAAAAAAGCAAGGAAGGAGGTTGCTTTAATTCCTTAAGAAAAGGTCACTGTTCAACACTTCATGGGAAATTTTTATATATAAATATTTTTGCACTTCAATAGAGGACTCTGACTCACAGATTCCTGAAGATGTGGAAAAGATGGGTTACTTTCTTGAACTGCATCAAAACCCCCTGAATCAGCAGCAATTGCAGACTGGGCCTCACAATTTACACTGAAAGCAACATGTTTATCTGATTCACTTCTCTCAGATGCACTTGCCTGGTATCTTTTCTTCACTGCAATAAATAAAAATTTCAAATGCTGATTTGAATTTTTCTAAGAAGGACCACCACCTTGTTCCTTCAAAATGTTCAGCAGACTTTCCAATTCTTCTTTGATGACATGTCTCAAATCGTCATCACAGTCCTTGTCATTAGTAATGGCTTTTCCTGAGGGCAGATGCAGAATTTCTGCTGCATCCCCTTCTGCCAAAGGTTTGTTCTCTTGGTCAGAAATGGGCTTGTCACAAGGAATATTGACTAGGCGCAAAAACTTGGATTCTTTTGAGCTAGATCCATCAAGAGTTCCTGTGATGACCAAGCTTTTTGAGTCTCTTGAAAACACCCACTGAGCTTTGCTCTGGCCCTCTGTTTCTCCTGGCAAGGCTGGAGAAAAACTTTATACTGTAGTCTAAATTATGGAAAACCAATAACAGACTTCCCACACAATGGATATTTGCACAACAGACTGCCTCTGGAGGTAGTTTTCCCTTCTGTTCATCAGACTAAATCTGCTCAACAGACTTCATTTGGTTTAAAATTGATAATAAAAAGTANCTAGATTTTGAATACTTGCCTCAAATGTTTCCTGCAGGGTATTACTTGGCACCCAGGTGATTTTTTCATACAGGTGGTATACCTTGCAATTTGACCTCTGGTAATTTCTTCATCCTGTAAATTTGATTGTTGAATTGGCTGGGAGGTCAAGTTGTAATTTGACTTCTGCTCTGCAATTTGACCAACAGAGAAACACAAAATGTTGAATATGATGTAGAAAAACATGGCATTTTATGTCTCAACTGGTTCACAATTGCATCTGATCATAACTATGCATTAGGGTCAAATTGCAGGGTCTCACTGTATACATATTCTTTACTTTTTATTATCAATTTTAAACCAAATGAAGTCTGTTAAGCAGATTTAGTCTGTTAAATAGAAGGGAAAACCACCTCCACAGGCAGTCTGTTGTGCAAAAATCCATTGTGTGGGAGGTCTGTTGTGCAGGAGTAAACTGTACTAAGCTTTTAATAAGCATTGTAGGAAAATTTTCCCAAACACAGAATCATAAAAAATTTAAAATTTCTGGTGAGGGCTCATAGTTTTTATTTCAAAAAAGATTTAGCTGAAGCTAATAATTTTCTTTGTAGAGGTTGGTTCCAAAGGTCCTGTGCAATTTTCAAACTTTTAAATTGTTTTAATTGAATCAAGTGGAAATTTAGAGTGACAGCTTAAAATGGGTACATCTGCAGTCCAAAAAAGTTTGCTGTTCAATTCAGTAAATTATGCAGTTGATTCCAGAAACTCTCAAAAATATTAAAATCAAAAATTCTAGAAAAACATTATTACTGACATAAAATAACTCTGCAGTGCTATTAAAGCAAGTATGCAGTTTTTTATGGCCACTGGTGATTGTGAAGTAATTTGTGGGACAGGACAGTTATAAATTAGGGTTCTGCATTGTACCATCAGCTGTAGCAAGCACAGGAACTGTGCAGTCTGGGTTGCTACTGGTCCTTGACTTAGTTGAGTTGACATCCAGACATGCCTCCAGAATATTTTCTGCACAAACTGATACCCGAACTTGCTTCCTAGACTTGCCATTCTTCTCTTTCGCCCTGTACTTCAATTTGTCCAAGATGTTGTCCAATTCTTCTCTTATAATGACTCTCAGAACATTTCCTGATACAGATTCATCTGACCTGATGACAATTGCATCAACAGTTTATCTCTATTAAGATACACTCAATTTCTTGAGTTTAAGTGTCAAAAGCATCACCCTTGCTTAACAGCAGCTTCTTCATGACAAGACTTGCCACTGCTGAAGACATCACAAGTATCTCCAGTTTTTGACAGCTCAGCTAACACTACATTCTCAGCATTTTCTGTACAATGAAGGACTTACATAATATTGTCTCAAAGTTTGCCTGGAATTCCCAACCTTTTGCATGCATGCATTTAACAGGGTTATTGTTCTGGTCAGCAGGACAACACTGGAAAGGCTCAGTTCTGCAGGCCTCATGGAGAAGCTCAGGGTGAGCAGAATCCGCTGGTGAATCTGTTTGAAAGGCGTTTCCTTTGCTAGAGCAAATGCTGGCTGAAGGTTGGGCATGTTTTTGACTCCTAGGCTTCATTTTCAAGTCCAACAAGGGTTGTCTCAATTCACTTTTACCCCTTTGTTAAAAAAATTGTATAATTTTTAATTAAAAAAAGAGATACATGTGGTACCCTGCAATTTGACCCTAATGCATAGTTATGATCAGATGCAATTGTGAACCAGTTGAGACATAAAATGCCATGTTTTTCTACATCATATTCAACATTTTGTGTTTCTCTGTTGGTCAAATTGCAGAGCAGAAGTCAAATTACAACTTGACCTCCCAGCCAATTCAACAATCAAATTTACAGGATGAAGAAATTACCAGAGGTCAAATTGCAAGGTATACCACCTGTATGAAAAAATCACCTGGGTGCCAAGTAATACCCTGCAGGAAACATTTGAGGCAAGTATTCAAAATCTAGACTGGACTGTTGATTATAATCATTTCCAGATTCTCTTCTCATGCAGCTGCTCTCAGCCAGTCTCCTCCTTCTGTTGTTGTGTGGATAAGAAGACCCAGGCTTGGTTTTGATAACTGAAGGAGTCAAAAGGTCTTCTTCATCAGGCTCAAAATCAAAGAGTGGGTAAATGTAGTCTCTTGGTCTGGAAGCATTCCTGCTGGGACCTCTGACCATCATTTTGTCCTTGCGCTGCAGGGTGTTGATGAACATGAGAGAAGAGTTTTTCTTACCCAGACGACCTGGGGAATTGAATATTATTTATTCTGAGAATTTGGTATCACATACTGTACAGAAAAAAAAAATCTTGTTACCAAAAACGCTTTGGGGACTTCAGAAAAGTTTGTTATTCTGAAGAATTTGCTGGGAGGTCAAGTTGCAATTTGACTTCTGCCCTGCAATTTGACCTACAGACAAGAGAGGCAAACTGTTGAATGAGATGTAGAAAACATTGCATTTGATGTTTTAACGGGTTCATAATTGAACCCTCGCATAGGTATCTGAATAATCTGTAGAATTCATTCTGATACTTTTGAAACTAATGACTGGAAAAACGTTTTCACATTATACCTGTCTATAACCAATTGAATCATTAGGTTTGTTGGCATTTTCAGATTATTATTGTTTGAAAAGCAGTGATCTTTTTGAAATAGGGCTGATCATGCATTCTACCAGCAGCACCAATCTCTTCATTCTAGGATGATAATGTTGCAATCTCTTCATTCTTAGAGGATAATGTGTGGAACCATCATTCACTTGGAAGTATGTTTTTCATTGATAACAGCTTCTAAAAATGCCAAGAGAACCAGTCAATAACATTTGGGATCATACATTTAAGACTGCCTGCCTTAGGGCATTTCTACCTGGAGAATCAATTAAAAATTTTGCAAAAAGTTGTACTTGAATTGTGAAGTTTGATATAATAAGATTGTTTCAAGATGTACTCTATGGGCTTTCTGCCAGGACTTGAGAAACAATTTTGGGTACTTTCCTGTTATCTCAGTAACCATTTTTCTTAGTCTCGTGAATTCAGTATTTGTGCAATGAAAAATTAGTTAATCACATTAGTTGAAGAGAAAAGGAACTACATCACTACCATCCAGACAAATAACCTAACTTCACCTAACTGCCTCCCAAAATCAGTTTCTGCTCTCTTCGGGTTTCTGCTGAAACTGATTCAGTTAGGTAAAGTTAGGTTAGGTCAGGTTATGTTGATTGAAAGATATTTGTAACTAACATAACATACCTGACCTAACCTAACTTCACCTAACCCCCTCCCAAAATCAGTTTCTGCTTTCTTTGGGTTTCTGCTGAAAAATGAAATTCACAGTTTCTGGTAGGTGCACGGAGAGTAGGTACTGAGATAACAGGAAAGTACCCAATTGGGTTTCAAAAAAGTTTGTTGTACTGGAATTGGAAAGTTTGTGAAAAAAGATTTTTCATAATGTTCTCTATGCATGGACCTTCTGCCAGGGCTTGAGAAAAAGTACATGTGCTGAAAAAGATTGTTACACAATAGTATTTGTTGTAACAAGATTGTACTGTACATGCAGTCAACCCCTTCACAACAGACCTCCTGCACAATGGATTTTTGCACATACACAGACTAAATCTGCATAACAGACTTCTGTTGGTTTAAAATTATTTGTGAAAATTAAAAAAAATTGTTCTTTAAACAATTGAATTTGCATAACAGACTTTTCATACAACTGAATAGCCTGTTGCACAAATGAAGTTCATTGTGTGGTGGTAGACTTTTTTTTTATGTGGTGGATGATCAAACCTTCATGTTTCCCAGTTTTCTTGGCATGCCGAGGTTTGGCAAGCACTGGATTGTGGACAGGCAGGGGGCAAAGTACAACGCACCCACCAGACCTGTCCCTAGAGGCAGACATTGGTGACTGGGTACCGGGTTCCCTGCTTGATCTGGGTTCTTCGGGTTCGGGGGATTGGGGTGCTGATGGCTCAGCACTTGGGGTCGGGCTTGATGTAGCACTCGTATCCAATTTGACATTCAGAATGAAATCAGTGGCCAATTTTGGGAATTTCTGGACACCACTGGGATTTGCCCCAGCAGATTCTGCAGCTGATCTGACCTCAGATGGAGCTGACGTTTTCATTGCTTCCGGTGACGCATTTCCTTTCCAAAAGATTCAATAGAAATATTTTTTATTTTATAAGAACCGCATTGTTGAGATGATTATGATAAAAAACCTGTTGACAAAAGAAGCAAAAATCAAGCGTTCTCATATCGAATTAAAAACAAAGAATTCACCACTTTCCAGAATAAAATTCATGGACTGTCTCCAAAATAATAAAAGTGAGGTAGATTCTCTTTAATATCTAATGAAGCCAGTGTGATTCAAAAAACTTGAAATGAAAAAGTTGGGGAAACTTGAACACACACATTTGGCTATACTGCACGGATCTGAAAAATATAATTTTCTGAAAAGAAGACTGTGTTGTAACAATATTTTATGAAACAAATATTTTAGTTTTTTTTATCTAATGTTAAGTGTGATTATGGGGCACCTCATGGTAACTGAACATCAACATACAGTATTCACAGCATTGAATAAAAAAAAGGACCCTCATCAAAAGGTATATTTGGCCAGTTGGCAATCCTGTGGGAGGTGGTACATGAACCCTACGACAGTAGCTTGTTTTAAAAGTAGAAAAACCCAGACATAACATTTAAAAAACCCTGATTTAAAGCTGGAATTCTTTCAGTGTTCTCCAGTGTAAGCTTTATAATCCTGCGATCATAATTTAAATAAACATCAAGTGAAGGTAAAACATTGTAATGGAAAAAATAGAAAATGTTTTTGAAAATAGAGTTGGCTAAACTCAAGATTTGAGCAGTGTCAAAAACTGCGTTGTAATTAATTATAGAGGAAACCGATTTCATGGACCAAACCTCAAAGAATATCAGAAAATTTTGAGTAATGTATATGTATGTATGTGTAAGGAAAAAAGAAGTTGAAGCCTGGAATTCCCAGGAAATCATATTACCTGAGATTTCACAGTAATAACATACAGTATTGCAAAACTCAGACTCAGAATTTCAGACAAAATTTTCAACAAAACTTGAACAAAATCATTTTCTACTGAAAACTGCTTCACATAAAAAAATCATCCTGGAACAGATTACAGTATTATTTTTTGCAGAAGGCCCCACTGCTGAATTGATGCAATATGCAATGGAATGTGCTCCTTAGATGAAAAAAACATGGTTGAATCTTTTAATTGTTATCAGTAAAGTATTCAAATACAGTATCCTCTATAGAAAATGAAATTGTAATTTAGAATTGCAATGTACAGTATTTAACCTTAAATTGAAATTTTGGACAAAACTCAGAAAAATGTTTAAAAAACAATTTGAATGTACAGTATTCAATCTTCTTTGAATAATATTTATCACCAAAAAATATTGTGTTTAAAAAAAATCAAGGCCTATTCTCCTAAAAAATGAGACAAAAGGCCCCAATTCACAGGAATCTATTGCCAAATAGCAATGATCATCAGCATTCTTTTTTTCTTTCAGGGAACTCACCACCACCACCACCACCAGCAGCAGCAGCAGCAGAGGTGGTGGTTTGCCCACTTCTCGCCTCTTCACCAGGCCCAGCATTATCAGCAGGATCAGCAGGGACTTGTTGATCAGTGCTGGTCCCAGGAGCAGCAGCAGCAGCAGCAGTGCTTATCATAGAGATAACAGCGGGATTGCTGCCCCCAGCAACGCAAGATCCACTGGCAGATCTGATGAACCCGGCATCAGCAGTGGCGCCCACCGCCACTTGCTGCCGCATTGCCTGAGGGGGTTGCTGATAAATGACGTTGATGGGCGCCGATGGGACGTGCGACAAGGTGCGACGGGTCTCGGGCCTCGAGTTCTTGGGACTCGCCATCTTTGACCTGCTCAACGCCGGCGAATTCCTGAAAAAAAATCAAAATAACAATATAACAAACAAGTTTGCCATTTCAAGATAAGCAAAGCTAATAACGCAAAAAAAAAGAAGAGACCCTTTCTGAAATCTTTAAGGATCAAGATAAACTGTTGGCCTTATATGATTTCTCATGAAAGATTCTCTCTAATTTGTTCACTCAACTAAACCTTTATTTGTGTTCCTATTTTGATTCTTTTGTGAACACCAAAAATTGGAAAGGTGTTTGAAGTGATGTATTGGAATATACTATGTGTGGAAATCTTGATTGAACCTTGTGAATGCTGAAAAGCGGCAAATGAAGTGTTCTGTTCATTCATTCATTCATTCAATAAAATAAAAGCAAGCAATTCAGCGGCTCATCAAATTGAAGTGCAACAAATAAGCAGCATTACTTAAGTTTACAATGTAGTTTTGCTACATAAAGAAGCTTTATTTATTTTTCATTGGAGAATGCAGTACAAGACTTCAGCTCCAACATTTATTAAATGTAGGGGTAATTTATCTCTGAATACATGTAATTTACAAAAGAAGAAAACCATTTCAAATTTATTTTTGCGTGGGAAACATTCAAGTTTCCAATTTGTGGTCTGCAATTTCAGTGAGATGATAGCAATAGAGAGCGCTATGGGCTGGCACTGAAAAAAAAAGTTATACCAAGAATGGCAGGGTAGACCAGGTTGTTTTTGAGAGTCCACCAGTAAAAATTCATACAACCATCTTGTTGAAGTTGACATTTGTACTTTCTGAAGCACTGAACTGTTTTATTTGGCAGTTGAATGAACAGTTTTAAATTTTTATAATGTTGGAGAAGCTTGTCTCAGATATAGTCCAGGACTCAGTAATGCTCTGCCTTATTTTTCACATCCACCATTAAAATTTGTAGCCCTCACAAAATCAGGTGTTAGTTAATTTCTGAACTATAATATGAATGAATGAACAGAAAACTTTATTTACCACTTTTCAGCATTCACAAGGGTTCAATCAAGATTCCCACACATAGTATATTCCAATACATCACTTCAAACACCTTTCCAATTTTTGGTGTTCACAAAAGAATCAAAATAGGAACACAAATATTTTAAGAATTATATATTTTTCACCTCTCTGAATCATAAGCCTTCTCCCAAGCAGCCATGGTCATAACAGCACTGTCATCAACCAAATTCTCCAGGGACAAGCACTCAGAGTCCGTCAATGGCAGCTCGTTGTTTTGCAAGTCAATGTCGACACTGGTGGCAAACTCTGCCAAAAGAGCTTCCGGGGATTTCCGGTTGAGGGCGCTGGCAGCGTTCTCGTGGCAACTCGCCAAGTCCTTGTGGTGGGTCTCCAGTGCAGTCAGAAGTCCAACAACCAGTCCAATGAGTTGACGTGCATTGTGGCACAAAAAGCGTTCAGCGGATGCGCAAAATTCGGAAAATTTGGCCTGGTATCGCTGGTTCAGGCACTCGTACTTATCTGCCTGTAAAAAAAGCATTTAAAATTCAGTTGAAGCTCAGTTGTTTAACTCTGAAAGACCCAGAAAATTCATCTTGGGGCGTTTTTCAATCAAGAAAACGGGGCATATTTGCTGAAGCATTCAGAAATAATTTTTGGGAAGGAAAATTGGCGACCTTCTCAGTCTTTAATATTGTACTGTATTGCTGCTGAATGAGTTGGATGGATGGCATACTTCTGTATTGCACATGAATTTTCCTTGGCTAGGGGTTGTGAGTAAAGTCAGAAACATTTTAGAAGAACACCTTGTCATTACCACCCTTTAAAGCTATGCATTTAAGACAGGAACTGATCATACAATTAAAAAAAACAAATACCAGTGTTCTTCAACCCTTTTGGGTCTGTGGACTAACAAATTTCCATACAATTTTGTGGGAACTTGCAAGGTTTTCAACATTTTTTAAAACTCAAAAACGTTTTGTTTGAAAGACTTTATTGGCAGGTACTTGAACAGTTTCTACTTTTTGCAAACATTATGTCAAGAACCAGCAAAGCAGGCATAGTTGAACGTCATCAAAAATTAGGAATGTGTACTGTACTTGAAAGAAAGTTTTCTCAAAGAAAATTGAAATAATTTCAAGAGCTGAAAATTTGTCTGAAGTTTTATCAGGGAAAAAGCCAACATTTTTTTTCATCTGATTATTTAAACCGTCATTGTCTTTCCAGAATTTCTAACTTCATTGCTACTACTTTTGATAAATTTATTTTGCTGAAAATTTGCAATGGACTGCTATGGACCAACACCAGTTTGAGCTGGGGAATACTGGTTTGTAATATATTCTGCGCAATACTGCTGAAATTCACAGAAATCTTCTGGGCAAGGAATTGTGAGATAAATTGGGGAACATTTTGCATCAACACCTTATTGTCATTGGACCCTCAAAAAGTTTTGCAGTTTTATTTAAAAAAAAAACTGATCATCCAAATAAAGGTAAATTTTTTCCATCAAGTATCTGAAACATAAAATTCTACTCAACAAAATTTTCATCTTTAAAGTTACATAACACATTTTGACCATATACTGGAATGAGTGGGAAATTGGCTATAAAAAAAGTTTTTTTTGGTTATGCAGTGCCTTGAAAATATGTCTTAAACATGTAAAAAAAAAAATAGAACAAGCGTAGAACATGAGGGAAAATTGTTCAAAAATTCATAAGCGTCAGAAATTCCAAGGACAATCAGCAAAGGGTACAATGACAGTATGTGGGTTTATGCCAGCTGATTCTACTATGATGTGCTGAATCAACTTTCTAAAAAATTCATACCAGAGTGTGAAAAAAGCACTAATTGGTCCAAATTTCTCTGGGGGATGAGTGGCATGCATGAAATACGGTAATTACAAAAATATACAGGTTATATCATGTACAGGAGAAATCATTCTTGAAAACCTGTCTCATGAGCTCCCTTCGTCCCCGTTTCAGCCTGGCTTTGAACTCAAAGTCCTGCGAAACGCTCTTTATCCTGGACATGTCAAATTGAACCCTGGTGCACTCATCCTTGAGTTGCTTCATGAACTCGTGAGAGTGATTCAGTGCCAATTCCAGCTTGGTAGTCTCAATTTCTCGCCGTTTCACGTCCTTGAAAGCGTGCGAAAAGGACGTGCCGTAGTTTCTTCCGACTCTCACCAGGGCCTTGATGGCCTTTTCCACCTGCACGCCTTGCTCCACGATTTTCCGCAAATGTTCTTCCAAAAGTGAGAGCACAGGCCCAAAGGCGTCATCTTTTTCCAGGGAACGAACCCTTTCCAGAACCTGCATGTGAAGCGTGAGGATTCAAGTTTTCAGAAATAATGCATTGAATAACGCCTATATTGAGTGCTGTCTATATATATATAGTAAAATCTCATTAAAACAAACTTGTGGGGACTTCAGAAAATGTTTGTTGTAAAAAATTATTTGAGATTCTGAAAATTATTGACCGATTGGAAGATTTTCTTCAAATTAGACCTTCACATGTTCAACATCTTCCTTTTGTGGCCTTTTCAGATGTTTTTCAAGAGTTAAGAACTGATCTTCAATAAGAAATGTAATTGTTGATAACAAAAAACAGATACTGTACTCTGAATAAAAGGTAAATACTAGCACATTTTCTTGACTCCAAGATTTTCAAAACAATTCCTGCTAAGATTTTTAAGGGTGAATGTTCCCAAAATTGCTAAAAATGTTTACATTTCCATAGGGTTTTCCAAGCATACAAACCCTCTTTAACATGAGTATTGCTGGGCTAATTTTTCAGTCTAACCACCTATCATTTCTAACAGAAGAATAATTTTTGAAAGAGGATTTTCAGGTGATCTTAGAAGAATTTTTGTGCTTGATTCCACCTTATGTTGCAAGAACCAGTCTTCAGTCACATTTAAAATGGGAACTGTGTGATTGTGCCTGCCTCCATTAGGGGGTTTTCATCAAGAAATCATAGAATGTTCCTCAAAAAAGTTTTTATACTGGAATTGGCTTTTGTTGTGATGAGATTTTTATTACATGTACCCTATAGGATTTCTGCCGGGACTTAAAAAGTTTGTTATACTGAAAAATTTGTTGTAATGGTATTTGTTGCAACAAAATTTTACTGTATATATATATATATATACTGTATGCCAAAAACTAATTTTGAAAAAAAAAATATAAATAATATACCATATATATAAACATAGAAATTAGTGAAAAAATATTTTGAAAATTCATTCCCTATGCCCAATTCAACCTGACCTAACCTAACTTTACCTAACTGCCTCCCAAAATCAGTTTCAGCAGAATGCAGAAAAATAAAATTCACAGTTTCTGGTAGGTCGTTATGATTCTGAACTCGTCCTAAACATTTGTCTGATGGTAGTGCGGTCTAGGAATGAGGTACAGAGATAACAGGAAAGTACCATTTTAAACCATATTTAATATCAATTTTCACCCAATATCTATTAGTGGAAAAAAAGATTTTAAACCATTTAACTGGAGTGCACATCTTCTGAGGAAATACATTATTGGAAAAATTTCATGCCAAAAACCTATGTGTTGTGCACTTTTGCATCATACACAAGTAACAGTAGAACCTTGATAACTCAAATCTCAAGTCAAATACCTATCCATATAAGTGGGATGTTTCAAGCCCCCATTTGAATCCCCTTAAATAACAATCCATTGAAAACCTTTCAAATTCAAAGGCTTTTCCACTAAAGCCTCCATAACTCAAATTTTCTCAAGGCCTTTGGCTATTTGACAAAAGAAAGAGAAAATAAATAAAAAATCTTCTGAAGACTGATTGGGCAAATGAACCCCTCCTTTCAAGTTCATCATCCTGTCATTCAAGTAGCAATTTGAGACCCAGAATCTCACCAAATACAATTTCTTGAAATTCATCAATTCCCCCCCCCCGCAACAAAAAGGGTTTTTTCTTCAACTCGAAACCTCACAAAGTTGATACAGTATTGTTTAAAAATGTGGTTTTTTAGATTAATTTTTTAATCTACTATAATTATTTTATTCTTTAAAAAAATATTCTTATAATTTGTCTTTCAGTCTAACCACCTATCATTCCTAACAGAAGAATAATTTTTGAAAGAGAGGATTTTCAGGTGAACTTAGAAGAATTTTTGTGCTTGATTCCACCATATTTTGCAAGAACCAGTCACCAGTCACATTTAAAATGGGAAATGTGAGACTGTGCCTGCATAGATTAGAGGTTATTCATTGGGAATTGATAGAATGTTCCTCAAAAAAGTTTATTATACTGGAATTGGCCAGTTTGTTGTAATGAGATTTTTATAACATGTACCCTATAGGATTTCTGCCGGGACTTGAAAAAAAGTTTGTTATACTGAAAATTTTGTTGTAACGTATTTGTTGCCATGAGGTTTTACTGTATACTGTATGTATATATATGCCAAAAACTAATTTTGAAAAAAAAAATAATAATATACCATATATAAACATAGAAATTAGTGAAAAAATATTTTCAAGTACAGTAAAAACAGTAGAACCTAGATAACTCAAATCTCCTCAAGTCAAATACCTATTCATATAAGTGGGATTTGTTTCAAGCCCCCATTTGAATCCCCTTGGATAACAATCCATTGAAAACCTTTCAAATTCAAAGGCTTTTCCACTAAAACCTCCATAGCTCAAATTTTTTCAAGACTTTTGGCTATTTGACAGAAGAAAGAGAACATCAATAAAAAATCTTCTGAAGACTGATTGGGCAAATGAACCCCTCCTTACAAGTTTAGCATCCTGTCATTCAATAAGCAATTTGAGACCCAGAATCTCACCAAATACAATTTCTTGAAATTCAACAATTCCCCCCCCCGCAACAAAAAGGGTTTTTTCTTCAACTCGAAACCTCACAAAGTTGATACAGTATTGTTTGCTTTTCCCTCAAAATTTAACTTAGACAAGATGTTTGACTGCATCTTCATAACTGCTGTTGGTTTGTGCCCTCCTTTATTTTTCTCAATTTATAAAAAAATTAAAATAGTTCAAATAAGAAATTAAAGAAGTTGAAATTCACTTTGGCATGTGCCTCAACCCCAGCTTGAGCCGCCTTCCAGGCATCATAAACCACAGCCTGAACATCAATCACAGTCCTGGAAGCATCATTCAGTGCAGTGCTCATCAAAGCATGTCCCTGCCTCTCACAGCCCCGGAAATGCGACACCAAGTTCATGGGCTGCAAAACATCCACTCCGGCATCACTTCCGGTCCTGCGGCGACACCCCTCCAAAGACTCCTCCCCCTCCTCATCATCTTCTTCCTCCTCCTCCTCCTGGTTTACGGGAAGCACTTCCGGACTCACTTCCTGCGCAACTTCTTCCGGTCTTCCGGGCTCCAACATGTTGCGAACTCCGGCGGCTTCCGGGCCGAAGCACGCCGTCTGGCTCAGGTTTCCCACGATCACCTCGAGGCTCGTTGGAGGCATCATTGCCAGAAGGCCATGACATCTGTCGTGAACCCCAGGAAACTACCCTTTCATCACGCACGAATTAAAAGAAGAACACCCTTGCCAGTGTTTTCATTGGGGTTTTTAACTCACTTAAATCACTCGTAAAAAAAACCCGGAAAAGCAAGTCAGCATCGTGGAAGATGGCCGCGTTAAAATTTGGACGTATCTGTTAAAAACTGACTAAAAAAAAAAAAAAGGGGAGTCTAGGTGTACATTGAGAGGATTAAGACGCGATTAATTTTACGACATCGAAGTTGTTCAAACGGTATTTAATTCCCGGGCATTTACAAAACTGTAATTAAACGGACGTAGTCGTCCTTGTTAAGGTCTTCTCCGAAACAATTTTCAGACCTCTCTCATAAAATATTCTTGGAAAAGCTTTTTGTTCCGAGAAGGACTGACTTGATTCATCATCATGCGGACTTGAACCTTCGTGGGGAGATTGAATCTCTGTGTTGTTGACCTGTGGAGGGTTTTGCGTTCAACCCGAATGGGTTTATCAGCAGTTGAGGCATCTGAAGATGTGCGAAGATTCAACCCAAAAACAATTCTTCACTGTGAGTCCGTCACTTCAAAGAGTCCCAAGGGAAGGATTTTTATTGCGCCGCTTTTTTTACGTCTGTTTTGCGCGAGACCCTTTCCAAAAAATATGTGAGAATCGCCTTATGAGGGGAAAAAAGACAGTTTCTTTTCAGAAGCACTATTGATTTTGACAAAAATCTCCAGATTTACTGGAAATAAGTCAATACAGTAGTTTCTATACAGAACTTATTCAAAACAAATCAAGGCAGGCCAATCATCAAATTGATTTTCCATTTTACAGTTGGACAATTTTTGTTGTCTTTTAGATGCAAGAAATTTAATTTGCTGAACAGGACACAGGGAAATATCTGCATAAAAAGCTCATAGGTGGAAAACATGATTCAATTAAGAAATGTTTCCATACAACGCATTTTTCTGGCCCAAAAATGGGCAAATTTTAATGAGTTTCAACTTTAAACCTGAGAATGTTTTGAAAATCAAGAAAATAGGAGTGCAAAAATCAGTGTAAAATTGTTATATGTTTTGAAAGGAAGTGAGAGACTAATTGGGCAAATAAACCCCTGCAATGCATCCAAGTTCAGCATCATCCTGTCATTTAAGAAGCAATCTGAGACCCAGAATCTCACCAATTACAATTTCCTGCAACTCTTCTATTTTTCACACATCAAAAAGGGCTTGTTTCCCTAACTCAAAAACCGGTACTTTCCTGTTATCTCAGTACCTACTTTCCGTGCACCTACCAGAAACTGTGAACTTCATTTTTCTGCATTCTGCTGAAACTGATTTTGGGAGGCAGTTAGGTAAACTTAGGTTAGGTCAGGTTATGTTAGTTACAAATATCTTTCAATTAACATAACCTGACCTAACATAACTTTACCTAACCACCTCAGAAACTGATTACCCAGAAACTGATTTTGGGAGGTACTGAGATAACAGGGAAGTACCCAAAAACCTCCCAAAGTTTAAATGTTTTTCTGACCCCTTGTTTTTGCCTTTTCTTGGCTTTATAATTTGAGAAATTCAGATGGTTATGAGTTGGAGTTGTCATGATTACTTCAATATCATGCAGCAGATGAGGAATATCAAATTCTCAATTTTGTTCTAAAACATGCACATTTTTTGTTTTTTACAGTCTTCTGGGGAATGGTTTGAAAAAATTAATTGTAATAAAAATTTGGCAAAACAAAACTCCTCCAGTAGTACATTAGTTTTGAATTCAATTGAGCAGCAAGCTTTATTTTCTGCTTTTCAGCATTCACGCAGTTCAAGCAATGTTCCCACATTCATCCAAAAACATTCCATCACATCAGAATGGATAACAGAAAAATAAGCTGCATATGGATAATTAAAGAAAAGAAAATGCATCCCACATTAGTTTAATTATGTGGGGACATAAACCACTATTTTTGTTGTTGAATGCAGATGGACCATAATGAAAAAAGATTCCGAGTACCTCATTGGAACTGGAAATGTACTCAAAGGAAAAATATCCTGTCCCATTGGGACATGCTCTCACTAGGGATATGTTACCAGATCCCTCCCCCTACCCTTTGCTGTTTGTCAACCAAATTTTGTTATTCTCTGGAATAATTGGCAAGATGCTAAACCTCCTCAAGCCCTGTTGAAGCTTCAGTCTTCCATCAAGCCTCATTGCATAAGCATACCTAAAAAGTAGTCAACCGAATTTTTCCAGTGTTTTTCTGCTTGACGGAGTGAAGAAGTTTGCGTTCCCAAGTTTTTCCGAAGAAAAAAAAAACATTCGGAATTCCGTCCTTTCGTTCAATTTTTGTTTCATTTTCAACAGTACAAATATTATTCCACAAGAAAGTTTAATTTCCATGATGAGAATTTCAAGGGGAAATCCCAGAAATGTCCCGTTATTCCGCAGTCAAAAAGCATTTTTTGATAAGTCGAACTTTGAAAAATTTCACAAGCCTACTGTAATTAATATAATTACACTGAAGTATTGAAAAGTGTACATGCATTACTCTCAAGATGGCAAGTTGATCTAGGGGGTAAAAATTCAAAGTAATATAGTCATCGGCAATCTTTAAAAAAATGAACAGTTCGGAAAATCAGTGAATCATCTCATTTAATTCCAGTTTATTCAAACCAGTAACCATATATTAGTTCGTGATTATTCCACAAATTTTTACTATTGCCTCAAGAATTGTGAGATGAGGATGTAGAATTAAAATTATATTAAAAAATATATTCCCTAGTAACAACATGTTTTATTTGTATTTGGCGAAATGAACTGATTATTGGCTTAAATGGTTCCACATTGACGTGATGTGTTGAGATTAAAATTCAGGTTTTTCTATCATTTCATTTCCATTAAATTATTTTGAAGGAAATGTTTGAGCATACTTTTTTAAAGTTTTAAATTAGGACAAGAAATGGCTTACAAACTTAACTAAAAAAGGTTCAGTATGTCTTCTGTGAAATAAAATTTCAGGGTTATAATCAGATGTCCTATCAAGACAAATGGAAGAGATTTTCATTTTTCTAATTTTCGCACTCTCCTTTGAAGATAATTGTGTTGATATTGTTTTTGCGTATATGCGTGGGAACTTTTCTTTAGCATGAAAAATTTATCAAAATTAGCAATGGAATTTTTCAAGTTTGTCTGAAATTTTGAAAAGCAATGGTAGTTTAAATGATCTGATGAAGAATAAAAGTTATCTCTTCCATCAACCATTGGATGCTTATATGGGTTAAATTCCATCCCAAGGCAGTGCCAGGAAATTTTTGCATGCTTGCTCATTTTGGTTTGACCAAAGGCCACCAAAACAAATATTTGGCTGAGTAGCCAAAGTCCAGAAAAATCTAGGGAAGGTAACCCATTGTATCTGAAACTCAATGCTAATTTTATGAAAGGAATGTGAAAAAATTCCACGCAGCAACCAAGCTTAAGGAAAACTTTTCGGCCAAAAAAGAAAAATAATTGGGATTTTACAGGACTTTTTCCCTCCTGATCATCCCTGATTTTTCATTTTTTTTGCCTTTTGGCACAAAATTTTGCAAATAAATCCCAGCACTGCTGCCCAAGGGTTAATAACACTTCAGACAATTTTCACCTGCTGAAATAATTATTTTAAGCTTTCAATATCAGAATTCTTTCTTCAAGCCCCCCTTTCTAATTTTTTAAAAATGACATTCCACTTTACATTAGCTTCTTTCTTGATTGTTGCCTAATTTTTGAAAAAAAAGAAACTTTTTAAATATATGCCATGATGTGTTTCAAACTTTCAATACAACATTTTTTAAGTCAGACGAATTGAAAGAAAATATACTGCTTTGAAGAATTGTTTTGGAATTTCGCCGGTCTGCAAAACATTTGATGGTACATGGGCCCAAAAAGGTTGGGGAACACTGAATGTTTCAACACTATCATACATGGGCTTTTTGCTGGTATTTGAGCTTTTCTTTTTTATGCTGAGACATTTTTTTATGTTGTTTGTTGTAATGAGCTTTTACTGTATGTTTTTTTACTGATTATCCGTGTTCTTGTTGTTATCCGAACAGGAAGAAAGATGTCGCGTCTCCTTGTGTTCGTTGGCTGCTGGCTCTTTGCAGGAGTCATGGCGGCGCCGCCCAACTCAGCAGGGTCCCTTAATATGATGGACACAACCGCCACAGGGTCTCAAGGTGCACCACAAATGATGAACCCCCATCAACCTGTAGACACGATGGTGACTGTAGACACGATGATGCCCGCTGTTCAAATTTTCCACTTCGCCGACAGCGTGGAGCAACCCGATGATAACAGCATGGAAGAACGCCGTAGTGCGGAAAGCGGCGAAAGTAGGGAGACCCGAGACGCGGAATACGAAAACGAAGAAGAAGATGTCAACGTGCCAGTGTCCATGAAGGAATTGCAATTTTGTCTGCGCAGAGCCGCACGAAGATTCCCGTCCATCCAAGACCCCGACGACATCACGGAAGAAGAAGCATTCGGGATCAGCTCTGCGTTGAGGTCGACGTCATGCGCGAGGATGCTTCTGCATGCAACGACATCTAGGGCTGGCCTGGAGAACATCACGTTGCCGGGGTTCTCCGCGTTTAACATCTCTGACATAGGTGGCTCTCTCGGTCTCGAGTGTGTTCCGTGCCCAACAGGGACTGGCGTGGGTATCAAGGATATTTTGAGTTTCATGAGTACTTGTGTGGCTGAGACTTCGATTACTTGTTGCCTGTGTGTGTTGAAAGCTACTGTGAAAGCCATCTTTTCTGCGGCAACAACTACTCCGTTTAAGCTTCTGCCTGCTACTGCCATGCGGTTTGACTATAATTGGTGATTTATACATTTGCGAAATATCGGATCCGGGCGTATGTCGAATATTTATTGAAATTTCAATTGTCCTTCTGATTTTCTGCTTTTCCTGGAGAGGAAAGATATACTTCTCTAAACACATGTGGTTTTTTAAATTTTTATTTTGGTTCATCATGCAGGAAACATTTGACTGTGGACTGAGGTACAGAGTATTACATTTTTAATTTGTCTATACACAGAGGGATCCATCAACAATGTTTGTCAGGGATGGTGCAAATTTCACACTTCATAAATGTTATTAAAAAAACGCAAACGCCTCAAAAACTGCACACTTCACCCAAGAATATTTTGAAATGTTTTTCAACAATAACACACTTGGACTTATAATTATAGCTGCCATCTTGAAAGGTAATTTATTATTATTGTCTTTGTCTTGATGTACTTCCATCAAGAAAAACATATTCTTAACACCCCTGATGGCTCAAATACTTTCTCACTGAAAACCTATAAATCAAATATACAAACTTCCAGCCTGTTCTTTTGTATCATAGAGACCCACAAGGATTTAAGATGTGACTTTATTGATGTTGTTTGAAGAAAGGAAGTGAGTGACTTTGGATTAATTGGTGTAAACCCATTCCTGTAAGTTTGGCATCCTGCACACTGAAGTTACAAAGCAGTTCAAGTTACAGAAGATGCTAATTTTTCTTTCTTGCATTCTTCAACCTCCCCACATCATCCAAGAAAAATGCTAATTCATTTGAATCAAAAACATTTTGTTAAACTATTATGGGTCCCTCTGAATAAGTTGAAGAGGTTTGACTCCAGTAATGATTTTTGGAGTTTTAAAAAAATATTGAAAATGCTATCAACAAATGGAACATTTTGGCGCTACTTTGTTGATGTGGCTGCTGATGCATAAGATGCCACAAAGGTCAAACATTTATAAGTACAGTGAGATCCCAAAATGCAGACACCTCAACATGCAGGCAATTTGACACTTGGACACTTATTTTCCAATAAAAGGAATTCTTTTCCAATAAAGTTACCAACATGCAAACATTGAATTGACATGCAGACATTGCATTCTAAAATTTCAATTAAGTTTCATGAAAAGTGACTTTTATCAATCCAAATTACAAGAAACAGATACATTCAGTCCTAAGATCAATGTAAGAAACATTTTTTGGCATTTATCTCATGATTTTCCCATTTATTTAGCCAATTTTAAAGAATTACCCAGCATAGAGGGGCTTCCTTCTCTCTGATGTCACTTTTTTTTTATACAGAAAATGCCCATATTTCATTGTACAGTTTGCAGGTGCAGTATTCAATGCTCTAAATACTTTTATTGAGTTGAAAGATATTCCTTTACTTTTGAGGAATTCTGGTGAATGTTTATTCCATGAAACACCAATTAAAAATTTTACAATGTAAGTCCAAGGGAAAACAAGACTCAACTTAGGGACATTTTGACTTAAGGACACTTGTGATGCACCAATCATGCCATCATGTGGGAGTCTCACTGTTTACATAAGCATGAAAAACAACTGACTTCAGGATAATAACACTATGATTGAATCATTATGAACACCCACTATGAAATTTTTGCTCAATTGTAGACATACAGTATATCCTATAAATTGTATAAAATAAAAGAAACGCATTCTCATAGGTAACTTTTTGTGCATTCTGCTATGAATTAAGAATGTAACCTCAAGTTGGCTAGACCTGGTCATAATACAAAATTTACAGGAAGCATATGGTGGTACTCCAGCTTTGGTCAATGAAAACTGCATGCCAACATGGACACCACTACTTGAGGATGAGGATTGAATAAAAGCACCACATTTGGTCAATCATCATTTATCTGTGATCTCATTAACCTTCAATCAATTCTGACCTCAAATAAAGATTTAAAAGAACTTCCAATCAATTCAATTTCAAGTTTGTGAGAAACTTTGCTTAATTCTAAAAATGGGACCCTTCAGCATTGAATGAATGCAAGTGCTGATGCAACATTTTCAAATACAGTATTACATGTGAGTGAGTTATGAAGGTTTTCTTTCAGACACATACAAAGCGTACAAAATAAGTCTTGCTGCTGGTTTTGTTAGTATGCATTGCTGTATTGGAATCGCGAAATTTGGAATAAGGCAGAAAAGGCCAATCAAAGAATCAGCCACACTCCAGGGAATGCTGCAAAGTGATTTGTCCTTCCACAAACCCTCAAACATGGTACTGTAGGTTTCTCATCAGATCCCATCTTCCAAAAATAAAAGTCCTGAAACTTTTTTTTTTTTGCCCTAGTCAACAGGCTGAGTCAAGAGTTTCACTCAACACTCATCTCTCTGAAACACCAGTCATCCAAAAAAAAACATTTTAAAGGAAAATTTGTAGAATTTGTAACAAAAGAGATTTGATGAGTCATGGTTCATGACAAGTTCATTCCTAGAAATGAACAGTTCACCATTCCAGAGCCACAGGATATTTTCCAGTCAAGCAGGCAGTGCAATACCCAGCAGTCTGAGGATCACCAGAATCTTGCCTTGAAAGGCCTGTGCTGCAGCATTTATTGTTGCCATTCTCCCCTGAACCATTACTGGCACCATTGAGACACTTGGGAATGGCACCATTTTCAGAGATGGATTTCAGTTTTGAGGCCACTGCAAAAGGCGTAGGTGTCGCTCCTTGAGGCTTTGCATGTGAGGACACTGCTTGAACCAGCCCTTCCACTGTGAGATATTTCAAACTTGCAGCACCTGTGCACATGAAAAATAATCCTTTTTTAAATTTTCTTTCAAATTATTGAATAGTTGAGTGCATTTTGTTAACAGATACCCACATTTACAAAAATTTAAATTTAAAACTTCAAATTTGTTCAGTTTAATTACACTGGCCTAAGAATTGTCCTCCAAAATAATAAAATGGAATTCTTCCAGGACAATGGAATTCAAAAATTAAGTTAATAAAAACAAAAACAAACAAAAATTGAGTTAATGAAGATTTCATTGAAACCAGTTTCGCTTGTTATAACCAAATCCCCAGTGTTTATTCAACTAAAAATTCTCACCAATTTCTTCAGCCAATTTATCAGCTTCCTTGTTATTGGCAATCAATTCAGATTTGGTTGGAATGTGGATCCCCATTCTGCATGGAAACTTGATGGGAGGTGAGGCTATTCTGATGTGAACCTACAAAAACAATGTCAAGTTTCAGAACATAGCGCTTAAGAATTTTAGCACAACTATTTTACTTCAGTTGCCCCTGCAGCTTTAAGCATGTTAACAATAGGTCCAATGGTGGTCCCGCGGACGATGGAGTCATCAATGATGACTACACTTTTCCCCTTGACGTTTTCTGACAAAACACCAAATTTTTTGGCAATGCCAATTTTTCTGGCTCTGGTGGTTGGTTGAATGAAGGTTCTCCCCACATATCTGTTGAAAAGGGTCTAAAAATTAGGTTTTGATCAGGGAGTGAAAGTTGACAGCATACTTGCCTATTTTTGCAAAACACTTCAGTGAATGGTATACCACAGGCTTCTGCAAACCCCATGGCAGCCGGTGTAGCAGACTCAGGAACTGTGGACACCAGGTCCACCTTGCATGGCGATTCCTTTGCAAGTTGAATCCCACACCTTCTTCTAACACCCCAAATTTGTTGCCCTGTTTAAAAAAGGACAGAAAAAAATAAAATGAAGGAAATTAAAGATGCAAAAGGATTCAAAAATGGGAGAGTTTTGAAGAAAACATGAATTCAAGCCCACAAACCTTTAGAAACATATAGTAATCACAAAATAATAATTGAACCTCTAAACACAAATTAAACTGAAAAAAATTGAACAGCAGTGTAAAGTCATGGTGCAAAATAAATTCACAGAAAGATAAACTTTATTAAGAGTTTCCCAACCTTTTTGGGCCTGCAGACGCAAATTTCAGTAAAATTTTTGCTGACTCAAAAAAGTTTCACTTGAAAAACTTCATGGCAGGTATTTTTATAGTTTCTGCTCTTTTTCAGAAATTACATTAAGAATGACTGAAGCAGCTATAATGGAAGTCTTCAAAAAATTAGAAAGGGTGGGCTTGAAGAGAGGTTTCTAAGAATGAAAAAATGTAAAATTATTCATTTCAGCAGGTGAAAATTGTCTGAAATGTTATTAGGAGCAAAGCCAACTTTTATTTTTCATCAGATAATTTCAACTGCCATTGGCTTTCCAAATGTTCAGGTAAAGATAACAAGACTTCATTTCTACTTTTGATGAATTAACTATATGCTGAAGAAAATTTGGTACTTTCCTGTTATCTGAGTACCTACTTTCTGTGCACCTACCAGAAACTGTGAATTTAATTTTTCCGCATTCTGCTGAAACTGATTTTGGGAGGCAGTTACGTAAAGTTAGGTTAGGTCAGGTTATGTTAGTTACAAATATCTTTCAATTAACATAACCTGACCTAACCTAACAAATACTGAATTCACAAGAAAAAGAAAAATGGGTACTGAGATAACAGGAAAGTACCAAAAATTTCCCAGGGACCAGCAAAAAACTTCTGCAGACTGGTCTGTGGACCACTGGTGTTGGGAAAAAACTGCACTACATCACATATGATAGCACCCCATTAGGTTTTATGTTTCTCAACCTTTGCTGGAAAGAGCCATTGAGCAAATTGGTTTATGAAGCAGTGGAAGTGAGGGAGATGCAAACCTTCCATCCATGAATCAGGCCTTGAGAAATAGACATATTCAAAGATGCACAAGGAGCTGGGATTTGGTGTTGCATCACCCAGAGGGAAGGTTGACTTCAGACCATACTTGGACACTTCTACCATTTCACCTGGGGCCACTTCCCTCACAAACTCTGCCCCAACAGCCCTGAAGGCACAAGATTCTGATGCCACTACCCAAGCTTCAGTTTCCTCTGTATCTGGGCTCAATGGTGTGGCATTTCCATTGGTTGCAGGTGCAGCTGTTCAACACCACAAAAATATGACATACTTTTTTTAGAAATTGTATTAACTAAGGCATTCATCTTACAGTCAGGATTTTCATGCATTTTGAACAAGAAGGATGAACTCCTTGAAACTGAGCCATTCTTCAATATCCTTCCAATGCTCAGAGGTCTGTTTCCATAAGGATCTCTCACAGCATAGATGGCGTCATTGTGCATGATGACCAAAGAGTATGAAATTGGTGACATGTGCATCAGTGTTTTGATCCTGTCTGGCCAGTTGTTCTCTGAAGATTCTGGTTGCAGACAGATCAACTGGGTGATCAGTTCACTATCTGACAAACTTGCCAGACCAACTCCTTTTGAATAAACCTACAAAAAATGGCACAACATATTTGAGTGTTCCATCAAAAATTTGAACATGTTCATCAACAATCCAATATGGTGATTAACGTAATTGTTGGACCATGCAGCAGATATCTGCAAATTCTGTGGAAATGCTGTATCCAAGGCAAAAATTTTATCTAGAAAATTGGGTAAGAAAATTAGAATGGATTAGAAAATTAGAATTAAAATTAGGAAATTAGAATTTTTTAGGAGCATCTCTGAAAATTTTCATTTTGGAAATTCATTTTTTAATATTCACAAAACCTATATAACATATGACTAAATAAAGAACCTGCATTATCCAAAGGCTTCCACACTGTTTAAATAAAGAATTTCCAACAGTGTTGATAATTTTACAAAAACATGAACTATTGAAAATGGTCAAATTTGGGCTCATACCAGTTTTCTCAAGGATTTTGCATTGACCAATTCTCCATTATGAGCCACAGCAACTGGACCCTCTTGAGTGTGAACAACAAATGGCTGCACATTGCTGTTGTCTTGATGACCGCCAACAGTGGAATATCTGGTGTGACCAATGCCCAAGTTTCCTTGAAAAGAAAATCAAAGAAAATCAGATAATCATGGAAATCCAATAAAAAATTGACACGCTTGACAAGCACTTGATAATTGAACTAATTTGCTGCTTGCATTGATTGGAAATGGTCTGCATTAATTTGTGAAGATCCAAAAGTTATTTCCCGTAGCACGCCGTCTAATATAATGTTTTCAGAGTTTTGATTTATAAATACTGATCCAAACCAAATTGTAAAAAATATTCCAAACATTATTTCATGTAAAGAAATCCTTTGAAATGAAATAATATTTCAACTGAATCCATGTTCCAACGTTGAGCTGAAAAAGTCAAAAGAAACCTAAACTCATCAACCCCTCCAATGGCAACCCAAGTGGGGAAATTGGTGCACACTGGGGATTTGTTCATAATTCTACACAGTGACCCTGCTGTGCACCTGAAGTGTACCAAAGTTCTTCTTTTGCACATGCATATCCCCAATGTGCTAGTTGTTCTCTGAAGATTCTGGTTGCAGACAGATCAACTGGGTGATCAGTTCACTATCTGACAAACTTGCCAGACCAACTCCTTTTGAATAAACCTACAAAAAATGGCACAACATATTTGAGTGTTCATCAAAAATATTGAACATGTTCTTCAACTATCCAATATGGTGATTAAGGTAATTGTAGGACCATGCAGCAGGTATCTGCAAATTCTGTGGAAATGCTGTATCCAAGGCAAAACTTTTATCTAGAAAATTGGGTAAGAAGATAATAATGGACAAATGTGAAGATCTTAGGAACATCTCTGAAAAATTTTCATTTTTGAATATTCACAAAACCTATGTAACATATGAATAAATAAAGAACCTGCATTATCCAAAGGCTTCCATGCAGTTTAAATAAAGAATTTCCAACAGTGTTGATAATTTGACAAAAACATGAGCATTGAAAATGGTCAAATTTGGGATCATACCAGTTTTCTCAAGGATTTTGCATTGACCAATTCTCCATTGTGAGCCACAGCAACTGGACCCTCTTGAGTGTGAACAACAAATGGCTGCACATTGCTGTTGTCTTGATGACCTCCAACAGTGGAATACCTGGTGTGACCAATGCCCAAGTTTCCTTGAAAAGAAAATCAGAAGTCAGTCAGATAATCATGGAAATTCATTAAAAGATTTACACGCTGTTAGGCTCTGGATAATTGAAGTAATTTGCTGCTTGCATTGATTGGAAATGCTCTGCATTAATTTGTGAAGATCCACAATTTATTTCCCATAGCACGTCTAACATAAAGTTTTCAGAGTTTTGATTCGTAAATACTGATCCGAACCAAATTTGTAACAAATATTCCAAACATTATTTCATGTAAAGAAATCCTTTGAAATGAAATAATATTTCAACTGAATCCATGTTCCAACGTTGAGCTGAAAAAGTCAAAAGAAACCTAAACTCATCAACTTCGCCAATGGCAACCCAAGTTGGGAAATTGGTGCACACTGGGGATTTGTTCATAATTCTACACAGTGACTCTGTTGTGCACTTGAAGTGTACCAAAGTTCTTCTGTTGCACACGCATATCCCCAATGTGCACCAATTGTGTGTTCACACCAGGATTACTCAGGGTCACATTTGTAAACAATTAAGTTACACCAAGGTTACAGTTGGTGCATTTGTGTGATGGTCCTGTTATTTCACATTTGTGCATCAAGCGTAACCCTGGAATGGTAGCAAAATTTCCTCTACAGGAGTGCTCACTTGTACCCCCAAAATATCCCATATGCTCCAGTTGTGACCCTGGTGTGCACCTACTGTGGGGTCACATTACAGGAGTGCACACTTGTACCCCCAGAATATCCCATATGCTCCAGTTGTGACCCTGGTGTGCACCTACTGTGGGGTCACAGCAAAAATAGCTCCCCCACTGGGGAACTTCTTCCGTATTCTGCAATATCACCGCGGACGAGATTCAGGCGACATCTACGCAGCATGAATCAAATCACCCACTCCCGAAAGTTATCCACGAGGTTCCTAGGTGTACCTTGAAGCTTGTAGAGCAGGTCCTCGGAGAAAATTGAGCTGACAAGACCATGACCCTTGTGGAGCTTAAGCTCAGCTTCGCTGCCGTCGGAGGTAACAATCCCGGCACTCTCTTGGCCCCTGTTATATAAGCAAGACAGTCGGTTTTTACTTATTTAATATTCAAGATAAATTCATCCATGCGAGGTGATTTCCATATCACGAGACGAATCCCCAATCTGTACAGCCCCCCTGCCCACCGCGGGGTAAATAACCGCTCCGTTAATCATCAGCGACCGACTTCATGTAAATTCGAAACCAATCTCATCCATCAGAAAGCACAGATAAATCATTCTTATTTATCAACTAGATGGAACCGTTACGTAACTTCCGTATTTCACGTCGTCAGCGTATGAATAACTAGGAGCGAGATGTTCGAACATTTTTCCGGGTGTATAATATGATATGATATGATATAAGATAATACGATATACAGTAGTATAATTTATTGTGATATTGTCAAGTCGGAAGCCAAATAAAAATACCTCAAATTTTGATGATGAAACTCATTGGTTTTCTAAAATACTTTATCCATATTCATATACAGTATTGTGCACAGCAACAACAATTAAAATATCCTGTTCTGGACCAATCGTCATCAGTGTGTGCAATAATAGCAGATTCAGCAAAAATCTAAAATTTAGAATAATTGTGAACATTTTGCCTTTGAAAAAGTTCCAAGTTTTCAACATTATCAGGTCATATTAAACCAAACTCATATTTTAAAAACAAACATTGGAACCATGCCTGGTTTGACATGACCAGCATATAAAGCAGATTCGTGAGATGATACAAAAAATAATAATGATGATAAAATATCTATCAACTATTTGAAGTCCATGCAGTCTGAATTTCTCTGTCATTCAATTCACTTCTACGACTTAAGAATGTTCTGAACTTCTAAAATTTATTTGTAAAACTCGAAAATTATTTTAGGAGTTCAACTTCAAATGAACTTATCTATGATCTACTTTGGCAACTACTTTTGACAGGTAGCTTTTTCATATGGCTTTCATGTTATTGAGGTTTAACTATTGAACAAAAAACTGGAAAGAAGATCAATTGATGGGAATACATTAGCATTTTATTTTCTTGTTGTCCAAATTAATCATATATGGTTTTGTCAAAAGTCAAATTTACAGGATATATTCAGTTATACAATCAGACCACATCAAGTCTGAATTAACTCTGGGGAATGTTTTAGTGTGGTGGTAATACAGTGGCCCCCCAACTAACAGACCTCCCATGTAAGGGATTTTTTCCAAACAGACCAGCTCTGCAAGCAGTTTTTCCTACCGCCCAACAGACAAAATCCACCGTACAGACTTCTTTTGGTTTAAAATTAGTGTTGAAAATTGAAATTTTCAATTTTTTATGTAATTGAATTTGTGTAAAGGACTTTTTGTCTAACAGACTCGTCCCTTGCACAAATCAAGTCCATTAGACGGGGGTTGACTGTATTTATGACTTCAATAAATCAAGGGCAACTGAGATTCCTTTGCTCTTCATGAGTTCCGGGTCTCGTGAATACACTGCTAATTTATTCAAATATATGCATCACAAGTATTTCTACATACATTGAATTTACTGAGATATATTTCCCTTGGATTTTATATTTGAAAAGAAGTAGCAGTGCATGTCATCAATCACTGTTGGCAGTGAAGGAAACTGTATATACAGTACACATGATAAAAAAAAGCATCATGCACTAAGGTGGGATGACATGATTATTGAGGAACCAAAACAAGGAAACAGCTACAGGGGGGAAAACAGCATCTTTCTCCTTGAACACAAAGATGGCAATTGGGTTAACAAACTATAATTAGGAAGAAACAAGATTGGCATGTGAAAAGCTGTTCAATATTTCATTAAAAAATCTTAAGATTCATTTGAAAAGAAAATGCCATTAAGAAAAGTTGCATGGCTTGCTAGTGTTCCTACAACACTTGTCATATTTCTGTGTGCCTCTTGATTATTTTCATGCAGCCAAATTAAAAAAATGCAATCAATTTTAGACATCCTTCAGAATTGTGTGACCAATTTTCCACAATTAATCTTTCAATTTATTCCTAATAGAGGATAATGATGCTGAAGAAAAAAGATGATGGCAGAATACTGCTCTCTAATCCCAGTTCCTCCTGTTGAAAAAATGTCCAAAACCTGCTCAAGAAATTTCCAGCAGCTATGGTGATGAAGAACCAAAATGAAAAAGAGGAAACTTAATTTGTACACATGTTGAAAAATTTTAATACACCAATTTTAGCTGCAATAAATTTCCGAAATACCGCCAGTGTTACACACGGACGTTCACCGCTTGTTTAAAAATAAACATGAACTTGGAGGCGGCTTTTGACAACTGTACGAAATTATTTCGACAATTCCCTTGAAAAATCGAAACTTAAAGAAACAAGCCGGCTCGCAATTCAATCCGCGCATCTTTTTGAATGCGCGGAAAACTAATACGACAAAGAAACATCGAAAATCCCCAGAAATGGGATGCTCAAAGAAAAGGATGGCGCCAAAGAAGCCGAAAATGTAATTTAATCGACGCATCCCGAGATGCGCCGAAACAAACGAGAGATAAGAAAGAATCCCCAAAACTGGGGTGGCTTGGAAACAAAAGGAACGAATTGGCAAAACTGACTCGCCAAGAAAAGAAAAGAAAAAGACTCCCAAAATTGGGATAAAAAACAATTGCTAAAGGCGGCACCATCCTTTATCGGCAGGAGAACATCTCCTCTTCTTGGAACCCAGGGGTCATTCGACCCCCACGAGAAGTGCAAAAAAATAGCCAGCTGCTGGCGACGCGCACTAAAATTTTGTCTCGTCTTTCTCACAGAACAATTTATCTTCAAGGCTCA